ATTAAAATTGGACATTGAAACTCATATGCGCTTAAAATGAGACGGAGGCCGCACACAAAAATCTTGTTGGAAGTCCATATGCATGTACGTAATATTCACGAGGATTTGAACCCTAGTGGGTTGAGTCTAGGAGTGGGTATTCGGTCTGACCAAAAATTTCGGTTTCGGTCTTCGATCTTTTGGTCATTTCACTCTTTGGAAAGTGAAGACCGAATTTCAAGGCAAAATGTCAGAACCGACAAATTCGGTCTCTGTCTTTTCGGTCTCGGTCTCGGTCCTAACCGAAATTCAACAATATTTTCATATATGCAAACAAATAATGAAAAATTTCAACACAAAAATCACAAAAAATTTCGTAAGCACGTATTAGTAAAGACTCTTATTAGGTTGCATGCCTAAAAGAAGTAGGGATGTGAAAAATAGAGTTTAATCCTATTGAACTTAGTGGGTTTTAGGTTGCATTTAGATATTTTTGCTAATTCGGTCTATTCGGTTAACCGAGGAGACTAACCGAATTGAGAGAACAAATTTCGGTTTTTCACTGCCTAGGATCGAATTGATGACCGAATTTTTGGTCTCGGTCTTTTTCTACCTACCCCTAATTGAGTCATGCACCCACGAGTCCATGACTTCATCACCACACCGCTGGTGCTTCCTAATAGTACTACTATTAGTATATCTCTCCTCCATGTGTCTGCCTTCTTTGTGACCCCATCGATCGATCGATCGATAGCTTTAGAGTGTGTTTAAGAAGGAGGGGATTGAGGAGATTGGAAAGATACGTAAAATGAGGTGATCCATTAGCACATGATTAATTGAGTATTAATTATTTTAAACTTTAAAAATGGATTAATATGATTATTTAAAGCAACTTTCCTATAGAAATATTTTGCAAAAAACACACCGTTTAGTAGTTCGGGAAGCGTGCGCGCGAAAAACAAAACTATTTTTCTCTCTTTCTCATGCGCTCGAACGCAGCCTAATAGTTGTGCTTCAGAAAAGTTTGTTTGAAAAAACTAGCACTACTGCTACTTTAGCAGGACTGTGCGTTTATTGGTACGGGGTGACTGGATGATTGCCGATTTGCCTTAAACTTCCTAGTTTCCTACTTCTGTTGTCGATGAGCGATTAACCTTGGCCACTGAGGCACTGTAAATTGCCCTAGCTAGATCAGGCTTTCGGTTTCAACCAATAAGTTTGTCACTGCATGCGTTCTTGGCGACTCATTGGTCCGTTGCTACCTTTTGTCATTTCGATAGCCTTTTTCATGTCACCGAAGAGTCAAAGGCAGTGATCAAACGCTGATGATCTGATCCACATCCAAGTAAATACTACAGGTAGTAGAACTCTTGCAGTAGATCAGCCAAACCTACAGGTAATTTTCACTGATTAGTGATTACAACTCTACGCACTGATCTAGCTCGACTTTAGTTGGCAACTGTTTCCTCAAGCTTCTGTACAATTAATGAAACTAAAATGTGATCCTATAGCACGATATGACTAAACAAAGTCAAACGACAAAACGGTATGGGCTGGTTTGGTTTGTGCTTTGTGGCCTAAATTTAGCCTTAATTACCAATATTGGTAATTTTAATAGTGTTTAGTATCATTTTGTTTGATGCTAAATTTTGACATGCTTAGAAAAATATACCATTTCAATAGCAAACTTAAGCTATTTTGGCTTTAATCCAAACACAATATTGCCTTGTCAAAATTAGTGATGCTAAAACTTGCCAAAATTCAGACATTGTTTGTTATTTTTTATAAGACTCTTTTTGTCTGTTGGGCTTTCTTTCAAAGCCGGGTCAATATAATTAATCTGTTTCAAAAAACAAAAACTTGCCAAAATTTTACATTGATAAAAATTGGTAGATCAATTTTGGCCATAAACCAAACCTTCCCTGTATACGCTCAAGGAATATTGCTCGATCTTCGCGTAGTAAACACATCATTCGTTCCTACCAAGAGTGTTCGGTTAACCGCCCTATCATCCTCTTCTCATTGTCACTCGACACAAGGCGCACATATACGCACACTCGCACATGCAACGCATGAATGTTACTAGCTTAGTACCTTTCAACCTGTACGCCTGCAGTAACAATAATCTTAGCCAAAAACTAAATCCCAAAACGAGATAAGAGCCTGGTCATGGCCACACCGACGACGTCCATCCCCTGAAACGGCCAACTGATAGCGTCCAAATTAAGCACACACATGTAAGGATTACTGCACTGGCTAGACATGCCACACCACCAGAGACAGAGACGCAAGGATGGCGACTGTACCAGCAGCAGCAGCTAGCTAGCTAGCTGCAGGCCTGAGCTTAGCATTCATGGCATGAACAATAAAATGGAACAAGTGAGGCACACGGACTGTGCACAGCGTGCAAGGCAAATGTACTTAACAGAGATGGACACCGGCCCGGGTCACAGTGTAACTGCCCAGATTTCTTCTTGGTGATGTACGAGAGATGTGTTTGTTGTGCTGCATGACTGCATCTCTCCCTGTGCATGGCTAATGGGTGCCATTTTCCATGTGCATATGCCTCAATAATGAATGCAGGTGCAATTCCATGGGGTCCATGAGATGGTACTATATATCCGATGTTATGTTTAATTTCTCTCTCCCGGTCTTCCTCTTTTCCCTGTTTACCTGCAACACCTTTCCCTTTCCTGCGATTTGTTTACTTGCAATTAGTTGGGCAATTTGTTTATTTTATTACTCCTACCTGTGCACTTGCTTGTGTACCAGGCAAGGAGTGGCCTGGCTGGCTAGCCGGGTCACTTTTTTAGGTGCTGATGTGAAATTGGCTGGTGTCTTGGCATGAAGGAGACAAGGACATCAGACATTCCATGACTTCATACCTTCCCAAACTTCCAAACAAATACCCCAATCAGTGTCCGTCTGTGTTCTAAGCAGGCAGGCACCTTTTTTTGCTGGTCATGTGGCTTATCTGTTTGATTAGTATAAACAAATGCAGTCTTGATCGAGTACTGGGGAGTAGCTTTCTCACGAACTTTGGCTGGAGGATGAACCGTGGGTCCTCATGTTAGTGGGGCTCATCTGTCATTGGAATGTAATGGCAATGGGCTCTCTCATCTCTCTTCACATTAGCCCAGAAACCTTAGCTAGAAGCTCGTGCATCAGTGGCTGCAGCTCCAGGTTTATGATAAGTTTCCAGAGAGAATATACTTCAAATCACACTGTCCGAAGTCTGATAATTCACACAACATTTTGAAAGGAAAAGTTAACGGAGTCTGGGGGAATAGAACTAGCTACTGTGTACTGCTTTACATGCCCTGTTTATCTCTTCTCCTACTGCTACTCTGTATTCGGTCGATCGATCCATTCATCATACTGTTACCTTCAGAAAAAAATGAAAAGTGAGTAGTCGTTGTACTGCTACTGTTTTGAGATTCCGAATCAAATAATTCCAAAATGGACAGCATAAGTCCATTGAGTCCTCGATCTCACAGCAGCTTAAAGAATTATAGCAGTGTACTATATTGGCTCTACTATTTTTATATGTTCTCCGAGGGACCTGTTTTGCGCGTCTGTGCAGTCATATGAATGCATTCGAATGCCACATTTTCTGCCATCAAGCAAAGCTGTAAGGCCCAACCCGGCCAATTATTTCACGTCCACGGTACACACATCGCAATCTTTCTTCTTGGAAGATATCTGCAAGAAAACTTTTAGTCTGAATCAATCAATCAGTAGCCATTCTTACCCAGCCAAAGGCCATGGCTTCAGCTCAATGCTGTCCCTCTGAAGCTTGCATAAAGAAAAATTACAGTAAACAAGAGGACATCGCTTGCAAGATTAGTACTAAAAACGAATCAAACGGGCCCCGTATCAAACTGAATCGCCTCTCATGGAATACAGTTCCGTTGCGTGGATGCACGAAAGTAAGAACAAATTAATGGCTTGCTCATTCCGTCATGTAGTACGATTGTACGAACGTACAAACCGGCAGCTAATTGACAAGGGAAAAACATCACCTACATTATATACACATACATAATCACGCGGGGACAGCTGTCGCTAACATGAACAGCTGGTGAACAGACATAGCATGATGTTCAGGAAAGAGTGGTTCTTCAGTCTTCACCGATGTGTAAAGAACTATAGCTAGAGACTAAAGACAAAGAGAGACATACATACCTATACATATATACTCTCTTCTTGTCCATTGCAATGCTAGACACACGTACGGACACAACATAGTTTACGTCGAAATCATCCATCTCGGAGACGAAGCTCCGGGCATTTCTGCTTGGTCCAAGAGGTGATCATCGACAGTGCTCTCGTTCATCCATTGGCTGCTTCCTGACTTGTGATCAGGACCCGTCCAAGACGATGCAGCAGATGCAATGATCCAGGCAACGGTGAAATGCCAATGCCATGAGCGTTGCCGCAGGCTATCTTGCAATACACACTCGATGCCCCTGTCGTCGCTTGCACACATACGCAACAAGGTACTATAATTTGAGGTTTGACAAGCAGCTTTCAGCTCCATTTCCCTGGAGAAACAGGAAAAATTGGTAGCAATGTCAGCTCATGCATGATGGTGGAATATAAATCCAGCAACTTTGAATTCAACATGCATGCATGCAGTACAAAAAAGTACAGTATGTTCTTCTATTCGTGGTGATAACCTGCTTACAAAATTGTTGCGTAGACGGCATAACAACTGAATAGGTGAATGAATTGCATGCACATGATGTCAGTCCACAAAAGAAAGCTACTAGTTCATAGTTTTACTAATATAATTACTTGTCCTATGCACACATAATAGTATAAAGTATAGTAGTATAACCATAGGGAATACCTTTAGTCAGTGATGTAAAAGAAAAGAAAGGGTGATCGATTTGATCTGATTCTTCAGGTCATGGGCGAGGGAGCAAAATTAGCTGTTGGTGCAGAGAAGAGGAAGACAGCAAGCAAGTAAAAAGAAGAGCTCGAAAAGGTTAGGACAAGGGCAAGTGGAGGTCAGTCACTTTGATAGAATGGCATGTTACATACATACATAAAAAAATAGAATGCTGTAACAGATGTGTCCTTGGGGAATAAACATGCAGTAGCAAACAAACCCTGGTTTCCGTGCCCAACGTCTGACCGTCCGTCTTATTTGAAAAAATTATAAAAAAAATTAAAAAGACAAGTCACGCATAAAATATTAATCATGTTTTATCATTTAACAACAATGAAAATAGAAATTATAAAAAAAATTCATATGAGACGGACAGTCAAAATTGGAAACGAAAATTCAGGGTTTGCCTTTTTTTTGGGACAGAGGGAGTAGGAAGGAATAATGTCTCAAGGCGTTTCTGAGCGGCCAAAGTTACACACACACAAAAAAAAAAAAGAGAGGAAGAACTAGCAGTAGTACTAGCCTACAATATGTTATAGTAGCAGCATATGACCATGTACCTACTCCATCCAGTGTTCCGGTGTTCCCTGATTCCAAGCTGATTGCATCAAGACTGGAGAGCTCATGCTCTTCCAATGGCCAGCTTCCAATCCATGCATAGATCTAGCTAGCTAGCTAGGCCATCACAAGGGTCTAAACGAGAGCCACGTCACGCACAGGAAGCCCTGTCTCCTGCTTGATTATTCGTAGGCATCCTCCCTGACCAGTCGAGGGTGTACTGTTTGTCGTTGTAGCAAGTAGCAGAAGATGAGGATCAATGATGCATTTGATCGTGCTGTATTCGAGTGAGCTCTGAAATTTTCATCTCTGATGAGACATGGGTTTTGGTTCGCTGCTGTTTCATGGATGAACATGTAGAATTGAGTTGAGTTCAAACAATCAAACGCCTGCAAAATTGTACTGCGACGGACTTGTTTCAAATTTTGAATGGACCATTTCTGCTATATAGCTGTAGTCCTGTTGATTCGCACTCGATGTATTGTTCAAACCATCCAGGGAAAAAAGAACTTGCCATTGTCTTTTTATAATTTTGTTCCAAGCCGCCGTATGATGCCCAGGACATACTGATATGTGATGTGGTTCATACTTTAATTATGATCCATGTCGACAGGGTCACCTTTTTTCCTTGTTAAGTGCAGCAATGCTTTGACCAATTGACGTCACCAAAACCATCACTTAGGCCAGCTTTAGCAGACAGGGCAATCTTAATTGTATACTAGTATATTATGCCTGTATTGTACTGGAGGAACCATGCCATATGATTCTGTCATATGTAAGGCTATGTTGCTGCAAGCTCCCTGCCAATTCTGAAATATTTAAAAATTTCCCAGTTTCAGGATGGAGATTCTGATGTCTGAAATCTGAATCCTTGAATTCTCATTGCCCAGGAGTTGATGGGCCTCAAATGCATCCTGGAAGCTCAGCCTCAGCATAGCCCATGGGCTATATAAACTCTCTTTGCAGGCTTTCAACAATAGGCGAACCTGATACAGAGTGTCAGAGTCACAGGAAGCACAAACTGAAGATCACGCTCAGAAAGAATCCAGTGAGGTACTGATCGCTTAAATGCCCATTTGTTCCCTCATAAATAAGAGGCTGAAGCTAGGAGCAACATGAACTCATCCCAATCATATCGGTTTCATGATTCAATATTCAAATGAACCCCTCGAGCAGCAAATGTAAACTAAATCATTTTTCTTAGTGTTGACAAGAAACATCACAGATCACACCACAATAGAAGATTGCAGGATGTTAACCAAACCCAGGAGGCACATCAGGATCCTCCTCATCATCATCCCCAGGGCAGCTAACGGCGTTGGGCTCACCTTCATTTGGTTTCACTTGGTTATGATTCTCAGTATTTGACGACTGCTGCTGCTGAGTTGCCATGATGTTGCTGCGCTGATGATCACTGAAACCAAATCCTGGTGGTTCCTCTGGATCATCATCTTCCAGCTGGACTGCAACAGAAGTTGATGCTTTTGCTGGGGACACTTGCTCCTCTTTGGCATTCCTCTTCAGTTTCTTTGAAGGAGGGTCCTGCTGCTGCTCAGGGTTCATCATTCTATTGTAGACAGTTTCAGAAGTTCCTCGGATATCAATTTCATTTGATAGGATGACACCCCATATCTCGTCTGAGATTTGACCCATTATTTTGCTCCTGGTTCGAAAGCACATCACAATAACATATCACATTATTGATATCTAGTCCGGTGTAGTAAAAAACAACAATAAAGAAAAACTAAAATGTAGTTGTTCAGCTTACCCGATATCTTGGTAAATCGCATCAGAAAGATCTTTCAGCTTTAACTTTTCAGAGCCATCTTCATTTATTACCACTGACTGCTTCACCTCTGCAATTATGTTGCTGCGTAGCACCTCCTGCATGAAAATAAATTGCAGCCAACTTATACAACTACACAGCATTAAGGTCTTATCTGGTCTTCAGATGTGTGCTTCTGCTAGGCCAGCAGTAAATCAGAGTGAAACATGCTAAGCTTGATTAACCATGTATGCTGGATGTACATATAATACACATAAACTTATAGAAACACAGCATTTAAAACTTATCTGGCTCACAGTATGTGTGCTGCTAGGCCACAGTATGCAAATCAGAGTGAGGCACACTAAGGCCCTCTTTGTTTAGGCTTAGGCTTATTGGCCTAGACTTTTAAGTCAGCTTATTGGCTTATATGATTTATAAGCCGGTGGATTTAATGTCCTAGGTTTAGTGGTTGAGTCATACATCTACCTCACATAAACTAAAAAAGCTTCTCCAACCTAGTTTTTGGCTTAATAGTGTTAGAGTGGCTTATGGCTTCAAAAAAGCTAAACGGAAAAGCTGCTTGTTTGTTTAGGCTTAGACTTTTCGACTTATAAGTTGGCTTATAAGCCTAAACAAAGAGGGCCTAAGCTTGGTTAACCATGTATGCTGGCTGTACATATAATACACACAAACTTATGGAACTACACAACATTAGGACTTATCTGGCTCATACCTGTATGCTATTGGGCCATAGTATGTAAATCAGAGTGATACGTACTAAACTTTCAGCCTTGTTTGCAGGCAAATCAGTATGAAGCCAAGACTATTATAAAAAACAAATTCTATACTCTAGGATACAACTCTTTTTTGCAGTCATGGGATGCATTTACAAGTTTACAGTTGTGGGATATTAGTATATATCATGGGAACACGTTTACAGTCACAGCGGTGGGGTGCTACAAACGTCTTGGGTACTAGTTACCTCTTCCACATAAATAACAATGAAGGCATGCCAAATTTATGGCATAAAATGAGACTATCTTCAACCTTCAATGGGGTTATGGGGCGCTTGATTCTTCAATCCATTCACTGTATCCCTTTCGACACAGCTCTACAGCACATTTATCTTTTATTTATCTATAATAATCCTTACTATCTATATAAGTACAATCCACTAATTGCAGTTAACTTAGGCCATTCCCAACCCAATGACTAGGATGTTGTCCATAGCATTAAATAAGCTACCACCTAGGATGAAAGATGATGTGCCAAGTGAATAAATGAGGAAAGAGAAGAAAACCAGGTCTTGCATGAGACATGGTTTCTACACAACATCCAAGATATCATGTGAGATAAGTAGCATTAAATTTAAGTATGAAAAAGTGGTGTTTGCATTGAAATCTAGTACTAGTTTCTTGATGATGTAGAGTTTATGAAAACTATGACTAGTGTCTTGGGTTGGAAATGGCCTTATGGCTATGAAGAAGCCCTCACGTTGAGCCAGGTCATCATAATTGTTTCAGCCATTAGATGTCTGACAGCCCAACGGCCACACCATCTTTAACCAATACTTGCAAATTTCCTTGTTTTTTTACACAATTAGTCGGTTCAAATTCCTGCAGCAACGCCTTGGTTAACCCACCAGTATAATAGAAAGATATGTCAACAATGTGTAATTGTGTATGCTTCCCAATTCCCAACACCAAAACTAGAAAACACAATGCTACTACAAGAAAATTTCCAACTTTACTACTCACATGGACAAAGTAAAATGACTATTGAGGACGCAATGGTTTCATTGGACAATGTAAGAATATATGGACCTGAAACACAATTTCCGATGATATGAATAAGCTGGTAATCAATATGACTCATTTATGACGAACAAAGGCGCAACCCTACTCACATTCATATGTCAATAGATGACTGTATAAGATATGCAAGGTTACCAAACAATGTAGTAATGAAGTAAAGCACACAAACAGAAGCTGCAAAATTTTCTTACGTTCCAAATTTCCTCCGAATATATTATCAAGTTCTAAATGCGTTGCTACAGCAACATACGATTGGTTACATTCCTGATAAAACTTGAATCACGTAGTTCTGGTAATTCATGAGAACAGACCTGCTCAGAGCATATACATTCACACCCAATGTCTAAAACTTAACACAAGAAGGCACATTGCAGTTCGCCTGAAGTTGAGATAATGCAGGATGATCTATGCTAAATCCACTGTCCCCATGGATGACTTCAGGAAAATCGAACCCACCCAATCGCGGCTATACTGTCAGTGACCCCATACCAAACGCAGGATCAACGCAATTCTCAGCGAGGGTTTCAATCTAGAGCGACCCCTTACAGCAAATCCTGCGGTATACGAGGGGGAAAGTGGGGAGCGTATGATGGGAGCTTACGTTGTCCTTGACCTTGCGGATGATGGCGCGGCGGAGCGCGTCGAAGTCCCCGTCGTCCTTGGCACGCCCCACCACCTCAGCCCTCGACGGCTCCCGCCGCATGCCGAGTTCGCGGAGATCGCTCATGGGAGCGCGGGGGTGGAGCACGGCTCCGCCGCGGGAACCTGATTCACCGGCGTACGCCGCCGCCGCCGCCCTTCGAGTTCGTTGCAGATTGGGGAGGGAGGGGACTCCGTGCGCCGCCGCTTGCTTCCCTCAGAAAATTTTGGGGTTTCGTCGGAGAGAGCGAGAGGCGAGAGGACGAGAAAAAAAAGAAAAGAAAAGAGGAAAATACTCACGCGGTACGTACTCAAGCCTAGTCCCTCGGTCACATCAAAACCCAACCTAATCAAAATTTACAGTAGAATAATATGTTATATTCAATACTAAATTGGTTATTTAAGGTACAGAGGCAGTACGACTCAATTCGTCCCGGTGATAAAATTGTCTACCTCGTCCTGGTGATAAAACTGTCTAGCGAAACAACCCGTAGAATTTTTCAGTTTCATTGGTTGACAACATTCCCTAATAAATCAAAACAGTTTATTAGGAAATAAAAAAAATTATAGATAAAACTTTTATATGTTTATTCGTAGTGACTTAAAAGCCAACGCTAAAGAGAAATGGCGTTGAAAACATCTTAAAATCAACTTTAAAAATTCAAATTTTGACTTTTATTTTGGTTTATTAAGTCAACCAATGGAGCTCTGAGAACAAAAGACAATGGTGGTGTTTGAATCTCTTGAAAATGAAGATAAAGATAAAGATAAAGTGTTTCACGTAAAACGAGGTAGTAATAACATGTGATTAATTAAGTTTTAATTATTACGAACTTGAAAAATGGATTAATCTAATATTTTAGAATAAATTTCATATATAAAGTTTTTGCATGAAACAGACCGTTTAGCAGTTTGAAATGCGTGTCACCAAAATCTTCATCTTCATCTTCATCCAACACTTGTTGGAGAAACGATAAATGCATCAGACATCGAATTCAGAAGAAAACACAACGCCTTCGCAATTTTCCAAGAACAACATTCTATCAAAAACAGCACAGATATCATCAGCCGAAGGAGAAACAGGCTAGTATGATTTTTCTTGTCTAGGAGACACGATGCCTCAACTGGCAATCGGCAAGCAAACCAGATAGTACTGAAGAATTCACGTTTCAGGTCACATATTCAATTTCATGCGGGATACACAGAGATATTCACGATGGCTACAAGCTCTCATATTCATGTCAAATGGTAGATGCTCGCGACTTGAGAGAATCGCAACGCGACTGGAGAAAAATGCAATCTGATTTCTTCTGCTCACGCATTCAAAGTTTCTGTCCATAACATGAGTGAAGCTCTCACGGCTCAACGGCTGAAACGCTCTGAAATCGACTTCGGTATGAGGCTGGTTGTGTTTGACTGTTTCTCCAGCCTGCGTCAAGAAACGAATACTGTTAGGATTACATGTAAACATGCACGCAACATGTGCAAGGGGAAGGCAGCAGGAAGTAAGAACCTTGCAATCTCTTCGACAGATCTCATTATTTGCTCTGAACTTGTTTCAATCACTTGTCCCCCAAGTATCATTTCATCTAAAATTGTATGCAGCTGCATTTGATATTTCAATTAGCCTAATAAAAATAGTGATTACCTTTAAGCAGTAACAATCATCACTATGACACTTCCGTTAAAAAAAACAATCATCACTATGACACGAGCAAAGACAGTTGAGATGAATTGTTGTAATGTTTGGTATTGACGACTGAGGGCAGCATTACCAAAGGTGTGGGCTTAGCCCCTAGCTCTCTCTCTCTCTCTCCGCAACAAAATTTCCAGTGTTACTTTTTTTTTACCATTTGTGTACTAACAAAACAAACTAACTTACTAGCAAAACAATATTGGTCCTCTCTTGTAAAGGACCATAAGCATGCTTTATGAACTTGACCCTTTTATATTCTTCAAGCCCAGCCTCAATGGAGCATATTCAAAGTAAAAGGATCAAAACATGAGAATCACTTTACCTTGTTGAAGTTAAATACGATGTCAAGCTCACACACATTCTTGAAGCATCTGTCCAATGTTTCAACAAAAACTGTGCACAAGATAAAGTTTTCTACAGATTAATTGATCTGCTGCAATCATGGCTGATAAAACGGGGAGTTAAAGTGAACTTAACAGAAGTGAAAAGAGCTGAGTAGTTCAGCAGCTACCCAGCATTGGACGAACAAACAGTGCATGTTTGGGGTTGGGATTTGAGGAGTAGCAAACCATCAATTATTGAGAGAATGCTAAATACTAGTAAATAGTAATGTATGAACACTGAAACTGAAATAAGTGCCACAGTCATCAGCTATGAGTTTGAATCTAAAAGAGGAATTGATATAAAGAAGCGCAAGTGACATTACAATAAACATGTAAAATAAGGCAGGTCAAACAACTGAACAAGCATGTAGTAAGATCGAACATGAACATAACAATTATTTTTGGCATGGGAGCGTAAACCATGACTGTATGGTTGTTGCCTTGTTGGCATGTCACATGAGTCAAACAATTGCAGTAACTAATAAACAGTTTCATCAATAAGGCACTAGATTACCTTGTACAAGATCAAGCACCGCAAGTTCATTTTCAGAGCTATCAAAGACAAAAACAAAGTACAATGTGGCCAAATGTTTGTAGACCAATTTCGCTCCCTGAAAGTGCAAAAGAAAAGGTTGACCATCATGCTATCATATACAAATCGCTAAAAAAGTTGTTTGTTTCCTTGCTACAGTTTGACTGACATATAGAAGAGAAACAGACAAACAGTAAATTTCATGAGGAAGCATGAACTTGTACAGACGTCAGTTTTTTTTCCTTTACTTTTTTTTTTTTGAAGAAAGTGTTTGCAATTGCATACAGATTGACTAAAAGTCTAAGATAGTGGCAGGTTACATAACAAACGAGAGAAATCAACTGACATTAGAGCAAGGAGCTTTCAAAAATTCCTATGTCAGTTCCAGCATATGCTTGTATTTTAGCAAGATTTATTACAAGATCAGTCTTGGAGAGGGTTCATTACCGGTCCAAAGATTGCATCAACCTTGACGAAATTGCTGACACTGTCCGGCCTTGCAGACAACACTGCAAAACGTGCTTCACAAATCAAGCATACTACGTATAATCGTATACAAAAGGTGAAGAGCAGGAAAGTAGACTGTGGGTGATACATACACTGGAAGACGCCGCGGACGAGGTCCTGATGCTTCTCGGGGGGCTGCATCCAATAACCAATCCATGAAGCAGAGAATAGATAGAAGGGGAGAGCAAAGTGGTCAAAAGCATTTCGTCAATCACGTAAGCTGCTATTGGTCTTGGGTGGGGAAATTGACCCAGCACTTGTCGGGTGGGCGAAGATTGGAGGGGTGGGTGAACGGGGTAGAATCGAAACCTGGTAGCTGTAGAACTTGAGGAGGCGCGGCTTGCCCTGCGTGCTCATCACCATCACGGCCTGGATCATGGCTGATGGGGATGAGGAAGAGGCGAGCGAAATCAGTCGGGTGGTGTTTGGTTAGAGTCTGTAAACGCAAATGGTAACTGAATCAAATAAAACTGTTAATGGAATCAGATTCAAGCAATCCTAAACTTTGTTTGGCTTGATGGTGTAATGAAAGCCATTTCCTTTATTGTGTTTTGAATGAATACATTTAACGGTAGTAAGATTGCATAGCATACAAAATCTTCCTACAAAGTTTTTTTTTTTTTTGATCTCAGGCAAATTTCATTACCCGGCTTTAGAGAAAAGCCCAAAACAGACAGAGTCTTCCTACAAAGTTTGGGTATCAAGATTATGTGCATGTACATTTTTAGATTTGAGCGAATACAAATGTGAGATTTATCTACAATGATGTACAGAATACAAATATGTAGATACGCAAGAACAGAAAACATGAAAAACATCAACAGATAAAGAGAAGAAATTACACCAGCAAACCAAACAAAGTCAGTAAAACAGACGGTTTTTAGTCAGTAAACCTGCGTGATCCAGTCGTCAGGCAGGAACTCCGCGGAGGCGGCGGCGGACGGCCCACCTCACCCCCCCCCCCCTCCCCCCGGCTCGCCGAAACCCTAGCGGAAGCTCCGGCGATGGACGAGTGCGGCGGAGGCGGCGCTGCTGCAAATGTGGTGCCCGGCGGCTGTGCAGCACAACAGCCGCAGCACGCGCTCCGCCACGAGGACAATCTTCCGCGCGCGGGGGTGGGGGGAGCGGCGCCGGCGAAGCGGAGAGCTTCTCTTTAGATCGTAACAGCTCGCCGCTCGCGTCGCGTGTGTACAAGGAAGGGGAAATTGTGGGGGCAATGATAGGTTAACGCGTTCATTTAAAATTTGTTTCAACGCTCAAACACTGAGCGCCTGTAGCTCAGTGGATAGAGCGTCTGTTTCCTAAGCAGAAGGTCGTAGGTTCGACCCCTACCTGGCGCGTATTGTTTCGTTAACCAATTTTATTTTTTTTATTGTTTTGTAATATATGCGCGTATTGTTTCGTTAACCAATTTTTTTTATTGTTTTGTAATATATGCCAAAGACTACCTTCGATGTTAAATAATTTTAGTTTGTATTTTCCTAGTACAAGATTTCATCTATTTTGATTTGGTCCAACACATTGAACAATGTACAGAACATGGCCATCTAGGTGTTAGCAATTTCATCATTTGTTGATTACGAGTCATGGCGCTTATTAGGAAAAAAAATGTGTAAAACTTTTATATTTTTTTTACTTAAAAACTACTTGGAAAATAAACTGAGATAAAAAGAATTATCATTTTTTTTGCGAGGGAGAATTATCAAAATTAATTGTAGTGTAAGTTTTAAAGTTTAACTAGCTGGGTGACCCGCGCAATTGCGCGGCTAGCACACATACAAAATTTATATATTTTTAATCTGATTTTACTTCAAATTTATTAAATAGCTATCTCATTGTCTTAAGATTTTAAAAAACCAAACCTTATCATCCCCGTGTTTTCTAATTTTATAGTTCTAAAAGTCACACCAGTTGTTATCCCTTACTTATGTCATCTCATTTTTTATTTGCTTGCTCGATCTACCACGGTTTCTATTCATTTTCCTTGGAATCTATAAAAGTTGGATTGTATAGTTTTTAGAGTTTATTATCTCGTTGGGTTTTATTTTTATAATTTCTAGAAGTCTCGTTAAACGCCGCTATTATACTTCTCTACGGTCCGTCCACTTCCTCTTCTCTTTATTGTCATTGAGATTTTAAAAATCGAACATAATTATCGTTTGTGTTCAGTTTTTTTACTTTCTAGAAGTCTTGCCAAACCATCAGCGGCTTTGCCACTGCACTCCTCTACGGCTCGCCCGCTGCATGCACTCCTCAACGGATCGCCTGCTGCATCCCTTCTTTATTGTCATTGAGATTTTAAAATTGAACATGATTATCATTGGGGTTTACTCACCTTGTAGTTTTAAGAGTTTATTGTCTCGCTGGGTTTCATTTTTCTCTAATTTTTAGAAGTCTGATCAAACGTTGACACTATACTCCTCTAAGGTTCGTCCAACACCAACTCTTTATTATCATTGGGATTCTAAAAATTCAAACATAACTATCGTTAAAATTCATTTTTTACTTTCTAAAAGTCCCGCCAACCGTCGACGGCTCTGCCACTGTACTCATGTACGACTCGTCCGCTACCTGTCCTTTTTATTGTCATTGAGATTTTAAAAATAGAATATGATTATCATTGGAGTTTATTTTTTTTACTTTCTAGAAGTCCCGCCAACCGCCTTGATCGGTTGCTTCACGGCCTGCCCGTCGTTAATCCTTTTAATCGTCATTAGGATTCTATTTGGTGTTTTATTAATAGTTTTAGATGTCCCATCAAATGCCACCACTCTACTCCTTTATAGATCTGTTACTTAATTAATCTCGTTATATGTTTTAGATGATCTTTTTTTTCAATAGTCTTTATTTTTTATCACCAATTTTAGTTATTTATAAGTTGTCTTATTTTTCTTTTTCTAATTTCAGAATTTATTTTATTTGTATATCGAATTTTAATTAATATTGTATTGTGTTCTTTTAATATTTTTATTTTTATTTTCAAATCAAGTTGTTTCAAAATTGTATTCGTACTTGAACTTTCTTTTTAATTTGTCTAATTTTGGATTTTTTTTATTTTATACTTAATTCAATTAATCTCGTATTAGATTCTTATATGGACTCTTCTTTCAATATACTTTATTTTTAATTTCGAATTTAAGTTAATTTTAAATTATATTTCTACTTAAACTCTTATTTTCTTTTCTTTTTTCTAATTTCCAATTTTAATTTACTTTTTATTCCTAATTTTAATTAATCTCTTATTGGGTTTTTATATCGACTCTTCTTTCAATATTGTTTAATTTTAATTCTGAATTTCAATTATTTTTAATTTTTTTTTCTACTTGAACTCTTCTTTTCTTTTTTGCTAATTTTGGATTTTATTTTATTTTTTATTTTGAATATTAATTAATCTCGTATCGAGTTATTATATGGACTCTTCTTTCAATAGTGCTTATTTTTAATCCCGAATTTCAGTTATTTTTAAATTGTATTTCTACTTAGACTCTCATTTTGTTTTTCTTCGATTAATGTGGGAATTTCTAGTCCCCACAACGAACATGGTGTCTCCTTTGAAAGAGATAATAAAATATGAATAGTATTTTATGTTTGACTTATTTTTTTAATATTTTTTGAAAACTCATGTTTGCGCTTAAAATAGGATGATCAAAGTTGGACACCAAAACTCATGTTTACGCTTAAAATAGGATGGAGGGAGTAAGGACTAAATATGGCCCTGTTTACATTCCAACTTTTTTCTTCAAACTTCCAACTTTTCTGTCACATTAAACTTTTCTACACACACAAACTTCCAACTTTTCCATCACATCAAACTTTCCTACATACACAAACTTCCAACTTTTCCGTCACATCGTTCCAATTTTTTCAAACTTTACACAACATATATTGAAGAATAATTGTATTGGTAGTCTAGATGTGGTGTTTTTTTTTCCATCTGCGGCCAGTTTTATGGTATGCTAGCTTCTGGATTTTATTTGGCTGCAAGTCTGAATGCATCAATTAAATTGGGTTTGCAGTGGACAGATCTAGTGATAGTTCAATTCCTTTTTCACTTCAAAATCCAAATCTACGTATGTATTGAAGCCATCCGTTTGATTTATTTTTTTCTATTTGGAATCCATATGGTATTCAATTTTTTTCTTTCCCCCAATCGGACAACATCCTAGCCAAATACAATAAGGAATCAGACATGCATGCATGCATATTTGTGATGTACCTCAAAGATCAGAGTTACTTTCCTATTTGTATCGAATAGAGTTTGATTCATACTGAGAGAACTTTTTTCTGATAAATCTACACCCTTTAATTTAATCCATTACAATCTAATGGTATAGATTTTTTCTCTTTTTCTCCGATTAATATGGGAATTTTTAGCCCCCACGGCGAATGTGGTGCCTTCTTTTCGAGCTGTCTTAATAATATAATAGATAGATTTTTAGTTATGGATGATAAACTAAGGAGCAGACCGATGCATGTTTACAGTCTCATTTTGCTTATTGGAGAATCAGAAGCAGTAATAGATTTTTTGTTTCCCGAGATATGGCGGAGATCTTACATATCACTATCAACAAAATTGTTATATGTGGCAGGAAACAGTTGATGGAGACTAGTAAGACTACCATTACCAAGTTCAAGATCTTAAACACTAGGCTATACTTCGTTTGTTACCAGCCACCTAAATTCATGTCTTTGTAGTTTGTAACATGAATGCTACTGGATACATTTTCAGCCACTTTGCAAAAATGATATCGACATGTCAGAAACACAAACCACAAAAAAACAGAGAAACAACAAAATACACAAGTGGTTTCATGTCCTTTGTGTGTGCATAGGTGGCTGTAAACGAAATACGTATGTGAAGCTAAATAATAGCTGAGATGTTGGATTCGATGTTTTGCCACTATTTAGATTGGGCAATTGAACGCACGTTAAAAGGCCCCAATCAGTTACATATGGGCATCTGTTCACAGTTACACATTGAGAAATTAAATAAAAAATTGCCATCAAAAGCAATTTCCATTTTCCTTCATGGACAACTATATATTTTATTATTTCCTTTTACTTTTTCGAATGGCAACTTTATATTTTTTTTTCTTCTGGGCTGCCAAAAGTACCAAACGGAATTATGCAGTCATGCATGAAGAGGTGTTTTTTGGACTTTCGTGTGCAATGTGTGAGGTGTCAGTTGAGGGATTTACGGGGCTCAATTCCTTGGAGAAATAAATTCGTATAATTGAGAGGAAAGCCTCTTTTCAGGACTACTAGTCCACTGTTCGTCTCTTCCTTAGCATACTGTGTGCATAAGTGAAGAGGGGAAGGGGGAGCCAGGCATCTTCGAGCCTAGGAGCTCAATCTGGTAAGGAATTATGTCCTTGCTTAGCTCTGTGCTCTTCGATACTGTTCATGGAAACACTACGCAGGATTCCTTGTTTGGGAGATGCTTCAGGTGTTCAGTGTTAAGTCAGAAACTGGAAATCAAATTTCTTGTTCTCTGATTCCCCAAAATCTTATACTCTGTGCAAGTGGGGATCATGATTATGATTACATTATGATTTTATCATCCTCTTCTTCCCCGTTCCATCTTATGCAGGAGTATGAAAGAACTATCAAATTATTCAGCAGTACTTCATCCTTAGTTTAGAAAATCAAAGGGGATTTCTAAAAGGAACCTTAACACTGCATCCTAATAAGTTCTTGAGTTGTTTGCGAGTTTGATTTGCTTTTGTTAAATAATTTCTAGTTATGATTCTTATCATTGGGGAAAAAAATTCTTCCATTTATGTCCTGTATGCAGAATTCATCGTAGTTCTTGAGAAGTATCCGGTATCTGTATGTATTTCATATTCAGAATTTAGCAAGGTGTTCGTCCAAGAATCTATCTTCTGCTCCTATGTTTTGTATGAATAGGTCATAGGTTTTCATTTTCATCCGTCATGTCCTATGTAGAATTCATAATACATGAGCAGTATCAGTGTCAATGACTTGCACAGTTGTGCTCGGCTGAAAAATTTGTCATATGGTGCAGTTCATCACAGATGCCTAAAATCCTTCCATTTTAACACCTTTTCTTTAGTTTTTGATTGTTGCAGATGGAATACCCAAGGACACTCACTTCCTGACCGCTCAAATATCCCATCCATTCCATGCTCTGATGTGAGCAACTCGGTTCCAAGAATCTTGGAAACATGGGGAAAATTCCCGGATCAGCAGTCGCCATGGCCACGCCGCCGGAGCCGTCGTCTTGGCTGAGCCTCAAGGTGTTCTTCCTGAGGGTGAGCAGGTGCGAGGTGAACGAGTCCATGCTGGATTCTGTGACCGTCACCCACGCCCCGCTCACCCCGGACACCGTGCTCGAGGTGAGCGGCGGCAGCGTCGCCAGCAACGGCCACGTGTCGCTCCGCCTGGACCGCGCCGGCGGCGTCGGCGCCGCCGCCACGGAGGGCGGCGACTCCTGCACCTTCGTCAGCACGGCGGACGTCAGGGTGTCCGGGAGCGCGCGGTTCGACGTCCAGTGCAGAGGCGAGCGGCTCGTCGTCGGGATCCTGGACACGCGCGACGCCGGCGCTGGCGGCGGCGGCTGGGTGATGAAGTGCCAGGTCGCGGCGCAGCGCGGGTCGGGCCTCGTGAGGCGCGGTAGCAAGGAGGCGAAGCCGCCGGTGGTGGAGGTGTACGTCGCCGGCCTGGCCCGCGGCGCGCCGGTCGTCTTCACGAGGGCGATGCAGCTGCGGTTCAGGAGGCGGCGCCACGTCAAGGCCTTCATGGAGCCCATCCCGGAGCACGGCGAGCCGGCGGAGGACTCCAAAGAAACGCTGCCTCCGAAGCATGAAACCGAGGTAAAAAAATCCCAGCATTTTCTTTCTCTCCGATGAATCTCCGTTTATTTTATCATCGTCGATTTCTTGAACTGAAATGCTTGAGCTGCACCGTCAATGTAGGTGTCGGAGTACAGGTGCTACAAGCCGGAGCAGGACGCCGGCGACGCCGACTACGACGGCTTCTACGTGAAGCCTGCAGGCGAGGAAGACGACGACGGCGATTTCTCGTGGTTCACCGCCGGCGTCAGAGTCGGCGTCGGCATCAGCGTAGGCATCTGCCTCGGCATCGGCATCGGCGCCGGCCTCCTGGCCCGTTCGTACCACTCTACGTCGAGGAGCCTGAGAAGCCGGCTGATCTCGAGTCTGTTCTGAACATCAACATTGCATCAAGATCACTGTCCATCTCAAAATTCAGATATCCCTCTGTTGGAGATGGACTAGTCCAGTGTGTGTGTATATATCCTTGTTAGTATAGTTGTTACTACCGTCGTAGATAGATGAGATGTGCTATCTTTGGCACTGTTGGTTCACTGGTTTATACTTATATGATCAGGCATTGTCAAATTGAGACCCTTTCATATCTACCCAGATCGATCAATCGATGTCATTGATCACTAGTGCATCTAGTCTAGAGCCCTATGTTGTTAGACTAATTTCATTTGAAGATTGCACAAGTCTATTCCGCACGGTTATTACTTGATGCGGCTATTCTTGAAGATTGTGGCGGGCATCGCCGGCCGGCGGCCATGGCGGTCTGATAGTCACATCGCTGGGGAGGGACCCAACAGGAATAGCGGGAAACTCAAGGGGCTCCACCGGAAAACTCATCCGAATTGGTAATTTGGTATGGATCGGGCGATGCCGTCGCTAGCAATGGTAGCGACCCAACACGGATGGGACAAGACACGGCCCATCGTTGTTTGCGGACGGCAAGGGGGGAGGCGCGCCATGTTATTGGGCTCGTATTCGGACACTAATACGAAGGAAAAGTACACCGAAGGTCCCTCAACTTGTTGTCGAGTTACAAAATCATCCCCCAACCGCAAAACCAGATATCCGACGTCCCTTAACTAATCAAAACCGGTGACAATAAGTCTTTCAGTAGTTTTAACCCCGGTTTTATCCCACATGTCGGAATGCCACGTCATCTCTCTCCCCTGTTCTCTTCCTCTCTCTCCGCCTGTTGAGCGCGAGCGTGAGGCTCTCCAGTACTGAGCTGCAGGCGAGCAAAAGTGGGGGAAGACGTCGGCGCCGCGGGGGAAGCAACCGCTCCTGGAGCACCTTGAGGGAGGATGGTAGCTCGACGGCCTCAAGCTCACCGGCAGAGTCGGAGGAGAGCGGCACCTCCGTACTCCGATGGCGGCGCGGCCGCCTTCGAGGAAACTGCCACATAAGCGCCACGTAGTATGCCACATAATTGAGGAGACTGCACACTGAAACTAGCCCATACGACTCTTTGTGGGCCGAAACTGCCCAGTTACGCAGCCCATGCCGTCGAGCTGTCGGCAAATTGAAAACAGTTTTGCTAGCATTGAAAACTATAATAAATTTGTAGTGGCAAATTTAGACTTTTCCTCAGCGGTCAAGCGGGCCCACATGCAGTGACGGAGAGCTCGTATTAGTGGCCTCCCTCAATCTCTGTGTTCACGCATGACAGCCGCATCAGTTGCCGCGCTCCAACGTATATAAAACCATCACGGATCGTTCAAGTTGTACAGCACCGTCATCGTGGATGGCAACGCGCGTCGAGGACGAGGAGGAGGCGGCGGCGGAGGAGAGAGCGCCCGCCGCGGCGTTGCTCCGCCGGATCATGGCGCCCATCGCATGGAGGGCGGCGCCCACGGCGGCGTCGGCGTCGTCGTCGTCGTACCTGGTCGCCGCCGAGGCCGGCGGGGTGGAGAAGATATCCATGCTGTCCGGATACGAGCGACTTCCGAGCGTGTATGGCACGGCGTTCCACGACGACGACGGCGGCGGCGCGTGGTCGTCGTCGTCGTCGCCGCCGGCGTGCCCTCCCCGCGCGGCCAGGCTGCTCTGGGGGGCGCTCACCCGCGCCGTCCAGAGGCCTGGGAGGTGCAGGTGCCCCGGAGACGAGGAGGCGGGGGTGACGACGACCAAGGAGCGGAGGCGGTCGTCGTCGTCGTCGTGGCGGCCGGACCCCGACAGGCGGTGGCCGGTGCAGGGCTGGAGCTAGCCGTATTTGAATGTATTTCTTGGGGAAATTTGAATGTATTTTCTGTTGGTTTGATGACTGTTCAACGAAATTCAGTTGCAAATATGAACATAAATTACGTCGCAACCGAGACTGTGGTTAGACCGGAACAGAGGCCGAATCTACATTCTGTTCGAGCCCATCTCTTCCATTTGGAAGCCCATTTCAGAGGATTGATCTGCTCAAGCAAATTGCGCGGGTAGATTTCTGCAGCTCGATCAGCGAAATGCTTCCCATCTACTCGTCCCGTGAATCTTACCACGCAAGTTGGCATGTGTACATGTAAATGTTCAGATGCTATGCTTTACCTTGTGACAAAGACCACTGCTACTCCTGCGCAATAGCGCAAGCTTCGCTTTGAGGCGTGAGTTACAGACTTACAGTAATACAGTGCACATCGAGAGCAAGTGTTGCCATCTCAAAGAGAAATAAAAGGAGGTGTTTACACTTCACAGTGTCAGGTAAGGTATATCTCAATCAGAACATTGCTATGCTTTTCATTTTCTTAGCTACAATCTCCCTGTTCTTTTCCGAGTGTTACTACATGATAAGAATATGCAGCTAATAGCAAAGTTACAAAAAGAAAGAAAAGTTACAAGCTTCAATTTTGTACTACCTACAGTAAGCAGAGACCTGTACATCATGAATTGATTATATGAGTGTTAGTACTAATCAAATGACACTGCCAAAATGTACTGACACCCACAGTCACAAGCTTCAATCTGTGAGTTCTGAACCCTGGTAAGGAATATCTGAAACTGACCTTTCAACAGCAATGGGCTTTTGACCTGTGGATCCCAGGATTTCCTCCCAGCAACTGCCAGTACAATTGTGCAGAGAGACGAGCTAGCACACACGCAATTAAATCGTGGCAGTACGATTCAACGAGCGGTTAAGTGTTCAATTTACGCAGCTGTTCCTGTCCTACGGGTGAGCATATATAGGTGTCCGAGGCCAAGGGGATTGGAGATGCCCAATAACTTTAGGAATTTTTTTCATTGCTCACTGTCCAGATCCAATCAAAGCACTGAAGGCTGGGGAACTTGAGACGTCAAGCTCAACATTGATTCGGTTCAAGCCCCTCATAATTTGCAGATATATTGGGGGGGTGGGTATCGTGTCATCTCTCAAGGAGGTTACTCGTTTTGGGAGTTCGTTGGGGGTGTGTGCATTCTTGTTGGATATGCACAGCATCCCAAAGACACGGACACCAACCGATCGATGCTGTGATGGTTTGAAGCTATGGATTATTGAAAATTTATAGATTTGCCGGCGTGTGCGTATTTTTAATCGCTTCTTCATTCTTCTGTTTTTATTCTTGTTCGGGCAAGATTGGTTTGCCGATGCTGACGGCTGACCGCCAAATTAAACATGCATGATAATGCCAAAATCTGATCGTTTTGGATGCATCCTGATCCATGTCTGCCTGCTCCCAGAACAAGGCCACTGCAAAACTGAAGATGCCCACAACGAATCAAAGGGTAAAGAACTAAAGATGCCAAGAATCTCTTGCAGGTTGCAGCTGCTGCCTTTACCCTGAAGCTACTACACAGCCAAGGCAGCAACAAAGCCAAAACCAAAGCAAGAGACCCTTTCGGTGCTTATCTACTGACTACTGTGTTGCTGTGCAAACCTTAGCTGACCAAACAGGAAGAAAGAAATCCGGACGATCAAACAATCTGACTTGACAACAGAACATCCCTGTGCGATGACAATGCACGTACAACTACAACGGTATAATTGTCCTTACTTTTCTGCACATGATCCGAGCTAGTACGTACAGTATGTACTAGCTGGGTACATTGTTCGATCGATCGATCGAGCGATGAGCAGGCAGGCACCTCACCTTGGTGTAATTTAATTCGGGGGCTGTACGTGTTAGCTCCCATTTCGCATCACAGCGAGTAGCTGGGCTAAAGTAGTGGTGACATGATCTCTCCGCCAACGACCAGGGATCAGGGATCAGAGATCAGAGAGGCAGAGGCCATGCATGGCCGCCTCTGCTTAATTGCGAGTCCACGCACGGTCATTTCAGCCCTTATTTGGATAGCTGAAAATTCAATGAGATTTTACGAGACAATGTGAATATGAAAAAGCTTATCTATTCAGCTTTTGGTTAGTTTATTTTTACAGTTTTATAACTTTTGATTCTTCCAATCTTGGTGAAAAAGCTAGATTGTTTAGAAAATCTAAGGCTACTAAGAGTCTGTTTGAGGAGTTTCTGACAACTGCAACTTCTTTTAGAATCAGAAGTTTTTCTAAACAGTTCAGTTTTCATTTAGATTATGATAAGATGAAAAAATAAATTAGAAGTCAAAAGTTGAAAAATCCAACTTTTTCAGTTTTTTAAAAACTGGCTTTTAATCAGCTAAAGCTCCCAACCACAGCACAGTATCGAGTGTGTGTGTTTGGGGTGTGGAGGGGAGGGGGGGGGGGGGGGTTGCCTTTAGTGCACGTATTGATTACACACTGTGCATCCCCTGCACGGTTGCATCCATGCCGGGGGTACGCGCGTGTTCTTGGTTAGGTTTCACATGTGCGATGTGTGCGCCATGGCCGACAAAGCTAGTAGCATGTGTTACTGTATCTGTATGACGATAGATAGCTCCATTTTGATTTAGGGTCGTTGATCTTGGTCCAAGATCCTGCAACCTGGGGCGAAAATGACCTTGGCTGTATGTAATAATCGAGCAGAAACAACAAAATTTAGTGCCAGGATATGCAAGTGTCGACGTATCGATACAGTATATGGATTTCTTTTGCTGCATAACAAAGGCAATAAATTAGCAACAATCTGGTTGGCCTTTAATTAATCGGGGTTTTCTCACGAGAGCTCACGGCCTCAGAAACGCATACAAGATCGTCTTGGTTTGGAGAGATTTCTCGATCCACAGTAGAGAGTCGACGTCATGACAAAGAGGACCGCTAATTTAGATCACCAAAAAAAAAAAAAACTGGAAAAGAAAGCTAACCTGAATTGGAAGATTTGCGTTACTTTCTCCTGCACTGCTCAGCATCTATGAATCTTCACAGGAACGAAAGGAAGGGCTGACACAAACCGATGCCTTCATTTCCCGGCCCAGATGTACGCCACCAACAACACCAACACCAACCTGAACAATTCCGAGTTTTGTGACTGCATTTGGCAGTTGGCGCGTCTTGGTTTGTACTATGAGGTTTTAGCATATGGTTCGTGATCATATACTTGATACAAAATCACCATGGCCAGTAATTTTTTTTTGCCGTGTAGTAGAGACTACATAGCCACTTAATACTAGTTAATACTGTTATTTGTCGTGACTAGCATTATGTGGATGTTAATGCATCAACCTACCTGAATGTCCTCGCAAAAAGGTAAAAGAGAACCACTACTACCTGAATGTAACTGCCATGGCCCCATGCATCAGCCTCTCAATTTTTCTGATTAAAAGCCGGTAAATACTCATATATGGGCTGTGTTTAGTTCAGTATAAAGTTTGTATTTTAGTTAAAATTGAAGATGATGTGACTGAAAAATTATGTGTGTATGACAGGTTGATGTGATGAAAAAGGACTGAACTTTGAATATAAACACAGCCATGGAGTTGGCATAGAGTAACTTAACCGATAGCTAGCCGCAAGGTTATTCTTTTCTGTTCCTGAGTCGGCCAGGGGAGGAGACTGACAAACCAGTAGATCATGGACCCCGGGCAATGTATGCCGTGACCATTCAGGTTTCATTTCTGACAATTAAAACTTCTGAATTACACTGTTTCGATGAACTCAAATATAGTTATATTTAAGGCCCCGTTCGAATCCTATGAAAATGGTGGATGAAATTTTGAATTAAAGTGGCACGCTTTTCAAACTGCTAATCGGTGCGTTTTGTGCGAAAACTTTCCATATGAAAGTTGTTCTAAAATATTAGATTAATCCATTTTCAAGTTTGAAATAATTAATCACATGCCATTATCACCTCGTTTTGCGTGAAACACTTAATGTTCATCTTCAGAAGATTCAAACACCACCATGTTAAGTGTTATTTTCATTCTAAAATAAACAAACCTACTACCACAGAATATAACACAGCCTAATACTACGATCTAGACAGAAATATATTATAGTACTAGTATGTATCACATCCTGTATTATTTTAGTTTATTTTGATATGGATTGAGTATGTTGATAATATAATATATTTTTAAATATTTTAACTTATTTAAAAAAAAGGCTGTAAAAGTTTATAAAAAATAGTATTTGATGACAAGGGTACGGATGAAGGATATGAATATGACGAGTATTGCTTGCTTAAAATTCCTTGCTGTAAAGGTTTCGTTGCTACTGTCCAGAACAACTGCTGAAAATTAAAGACTGCACATCATCGCCCTATTACCCTCCTAGGCTCCTACAGGCGCCTACCGGGCAAAGGAAACCAAAAACTGTTTCTTAAGGAATAAGACAGGCAAAATATATTAAACCTATTGGAGAACGACTAATCGACTATATGAGTTTGACTGTTTGATATTTGACGTGGGGAGCACTACGAATTTCGGATAACGTTTTTTATTTTTTGCTGATAATTAACCATCTGCCAAATTAGGACAGGATGATGCGATTCATTAGCAAAATTTATTGCTGCAGTCCCACCCTAGAACATTTTGCAGATGTTGCTTGCCTCTATTTTTTTTTTCTCATCTTCTTCTCAGCCTTTGGTCCTGTTTAGATCCCCTGATAAAATTGTACACCCTATCACATCGAATGTTTGACACATGCACGAAGTATTAAATATAGACGAAAGAAATAACTAATTACACATATTGCGTGTAAATTGCGAGACGAATCTTTTAAGCCTAATTGCGTCATGATTTGACAATATAGTGCTACAGTAAACATTTGCTAATGATGGATTAATTATGCTTAACTTAATAAATTCGTCTTGCGGTTTACATGCGGATTCTATAATTTGTTTGTTATTAGACTACGTTTAATACTTCAAACGTGTGTCCGTATATCGAATATGACACGCCAAAACTTTACACCTCTAGATCTAAACACAGACTTAGCTGAATATTGTACTGTACATTTGCTTCCCCCTCTATATATATTTATAAAAGGTAAAAATAGCAAGCATAAAGTGGTACCTTCAAAAAGAAAAAGAAAAACGCTTGCCAAATTGTTCAGTGTATAGTACTTCTAGTTCGGATGTCTGTTCAGAAGTCACTTTATACAAATACTGAAATACGTGAGCTGTCAATCAATGCTTTGATTACTGATATTGCACAGCACGGAACTTATGGCGAAATAAGAGCTTGAGAACAGTTTCATCGGTGGAGTAGTAAGTTACTGTAGTAACTAATTCGTGACCAGTGGTAAAAGAAAAACAATAATCCATAACCTGGACTGTTTTTCTCATTCTTTCCTGAACAGAACACAACAGTGGAACTCTGCATTACATTCATAAAATGGTAATGAAAATTGCAACATTTTCTTTTGCGGGATGAAACTTCCCCGTTCTAAACTATAACAATTCAAGTACCCTATTTCTAAGAGAAGAGGTACCTGCTGAAAATCGCTTCAATAAATCTGCTTAAAAAATCTATTAGATATTTAGGTTCGTAGTACTCCCTCTCTAAATATGAATATGGGAAATGCTAGAATGACTTACATTTTAAAACGGAGGGAGTACTAAATTGTGTCTAATTAATATTATATTTTGAGATGAAGGGTATAACTTTTTTTTGCGGGGATGGATGTTGCAGGTAAAGATATTGTTTTCCAATGTTTCTTAAAGGACACTATGCTTCATCCAAAAAAGGACACTGTGCTTAAACAAAAACATTTCAATGTACAAGTTCGGTGGAGACAGCCACAAGGCCACAAGACAGGCGTGGCGCTCAGCATTGAAGAAGTTCATGCACCAACGTTCTAAAATTTTATATGATCAGACTTCTACTACATGATTGCCTAGATTTTAAATTCGGTCCCTAATTCCAATTTGAGCTAAATTAAGTCACGGGCATATGCATGGGCACACACCTCCATCTTTTATTGTTCTTTTCCACACTTGCTTTCCAAGCCAAGCCAATTCCGTTCGGTTCATCTCTTTGGCCTCGTCGCTTTCCAAGGCAGCCATGCTTAACCTAACTAAGAACCTCCAGAACGTTGCTGATGAGAAAAAAAAAACATTATTACTCCACCGCGCTCACGCCAAAGAGATGATCCAAGCTTTGATCATTCACTGTAGCCTGCAGGTCACTATCTGAATCTCTGAATTTCGTAAGATCCACTATAGTTAATTCGGTAGTTGAACTTCGGTCGAAGTGGGATTAAGCGCTTCTTAATTATTTTGGGCCCCAAAGTTTCTCTCAGACTCTGACGGCTGAAAAGATTATTACACTGTCGATCGAGAATTCGAGATTGTAGCGAATTGACAACCTGATGAAGGGATCGATCGATAGTGAGGTGTGCAATGGACACAGGAATGGCGGGCCGTCGGTTTGTTGAGATGGCCTCTCTCCCGTCGGATACTGTCGGTAGTAGCTTTTTGCCGTGTTCTCCGTCGCCGTAAGATGGTGTCGTCCATGTGAATGAACACTGAAGAATGAAGATCTGAAGTGACCGTGTAGCGGTTAGCAGTCTGCAGCAAACAAACTGATCGTGATCGGAAACTGAGGGAGGTGATGCATAAATCAATTCAAAATGTAACCGCGTGATTTTAGATCTCAGGTTGGAATCTGTAAATAGATGGATGAACAGAGTATCTGTAGTCTGTACACGTATAAATGGCTTCAGGCATGGAGGAGAGGAGCGATGGCCGATGGGACTCACGCCGCGCGGCACACGGATTGTGGCGATGGGCTGAGCAAAGAGTCACGGGGCCCCGCTTCCCAGGTGGGTCCCGCTCTTTGGCCGGGTGGGCCACCCACCCAACGACCGTTTCACGCATGGCGCACCAAAACAAAAACCACACGCGTCCCGTCGAACGGCATACGGGGAGGAGAAAATACACGCCGCGGCCTCGTCGTGTGGACGCCGACCACCGGAGGCGCCCGTGCGTGGGTCGGGACCACGGTACACCGAGTCCAGCAACGTTAGCGAGGCGCAAAAACAAAGGGCTCCCATATAACGCAAGCTGCAAGCACGCAGCCACGCTCCCATTCCGCCTCTCCTCCACCTCGCCACCACCACCCTCCACTCCCTCGTCGTGACAGGCCGGACCCACCGCCGACGATGGACGCCACCGGACCACCGCCGCCGCCGACCGCAGTAGGCTCCGACGTCGACGGCGGCACCGGCTCCGGCGGCGCGAGGACGACGACCTTCTTCGGACTGTCCACGTCCGCCTTGGTGGCGGCGGGGGCGGCAGCGCTGGTCCTCGTCGTCGTCCTCGTGGCGGCCGGCACCGCCAGGCTCTGCGCGCGGCGGCGGCGGGGCGCGAAGCACCTGTCGATGTCGCGCGTCGAGCACGCGCCCTCCTCCGGCTCGCTCCGCCAGGCGTCGTCGTCGTCCGCTCCCAAGGAGAAGGACCACGCGGAGGCCGGGGCGGGCACCGGCACCGGCACGAGCTCCTCCGACGTGGCCAGCTCGTCGGCCGCGGCCAGCTACCTGGAGTCGCCGGTGAGGCGGAAGCCGGAGAGGATCAGCTGCGCCGCGGCGATGGACATGGGCTGGGGGCGGTGGTACGACCTGGAGGAGCTGGAGGCGGCGACCGGCGGCTTCAGCGAGGAGAACGTGGTCGGCGAGGGAGGCTACGGCACAGTCTACCGCGGCGTGCTCGCCGGCGGCGAGGTGGTCGCTGTCAAGAACTTGCTCGATCACAAGTGAGTACTCACAGTTTTTGTTTTTTTTTGTTCGTCCTTGTTACTGTTCACCTTTTGTACTGTAGTTGGCACGGTCAAAACGGGCATTATAATTTCCAGTCATTCCAGATAAAAAGATGGCAACTGTAAAAGAAAATCAACCTAAGCAGTAGCAGTAATTTTTTTTTTTGCACCCTTGTTACCTTATTTTATTAGAGATTTTTTCACTAGTTTAAATATATGAATGCGTACAAGTTTGTTGTATTCGGCATCATATTTGGATTTTGGTCTAGTTTGGTGTACGTGATGCTTTTCTTGATTAATTGCATTTGTTGTTAATTTGTCACAATAAGTGGGGTGGTGGTTGTAGTTGTGTTGTTGATATGGCTTTAAGTATGCCAGTTATTATGGTCATATCATTGGGAAGATATGCATACATGTCGACTTATTAGCTTAAACGCAAAATCTGTCCTAGAGTTAATAGCAATGCATCATTGTCATGTGTACTATTAATTTCTCTATGGGAGGGTTTTCATGAAGTTTGTAAAGCCTGCTTCCGAATTTTAGCAGCCAATGGAACGCATCCATGACATATGTAGTTTGTCAAAATGCAACAGAATTTTACGGACCTATTCCCCTGAAAGAATTATTTATTGATTACTATTCAGCAAATGTCCTAGTTCAAATACTCTGGAAAAACCTGGGGAAATTTCAAGGCTCAAACTACCGGATGGACGGTGCTTGAGTGGATGATTGTTTTCTAGTAAAAAGTGTAATCGCGCAACTTATGAAAGCAGCTGATGGACTGATTAGCAACCTAACGTTGTTCGGTGGCAAATTGTCAACTAATAGATCTAGTGCGGTTTTATTCCTGGGAAGTATGAAACAACTAACTGATGCAGAATTTATTTTATTTTTATTTCAAAAGTACACCCAGTAAATATTGTAGAGAAACTCTTTTTTGTCTTTGCCAAAAACAAAGGGTAGGTCTTTGCGAGCTTTCTTTCTTTTTTTTAGGGGGGGTGGGGTGGGGGGGGGGAATACGCAAGGAGCATTTCTTTTGTATTAAGTGAAATAAATAGTTATTTACATGAAAGAAAAGAGCAGCAGGGGACCGAAACAGGAACAAAAATTCATAGTAATATCTCTCACACTAAATTCTCGCGACCAAGCATCCTTCTGAATAGCAGGGCTAGACTTACTGGGTTTGTTTGACGCCAGAGCGCTGCTTCTTCCACCATTCCTCTCGCAATGTCGATCCAAGCCCTTTGTTGCTGATTGAAAACCCGATTGTTGCATTCTTTCCATATTATCCCTTTCTTTTTTTTCTTTCTTTCTTTCTTTTTTTTTTGCCAGGCCTTTGAAAGCTTTCTTAAATAAGTGTGGTTCATAATCTTCAGTTGTCATTTTGACTGGCCAGACAAAAGTCATTAGAGAACCTATTTTTTCTTGCAGAAATATATAGTAAGCAATGCAGAGGTTCTTGCACCCTGAACTTGCATTATATATAAGTATGACTATGGTAGTACCGATGTCCTAGGTTTCTGCGAATTATTGATGAATTTCTTACATTGTACTAAATCAAGAAGCTCATGTGAACCAGTCAATTCTGTTCAGATTAATGTCCATAGAGAAATACTGCTACTTTTAAGTCAATGTTGCAAAGAATAGTTATTTTTTCTTTTCTTCCTTTCTAGTTCTCTGCTTCATTTTTTTCCGATTCATGTGCCTGTGATATCAGTTGGTGGCTCTTTTTGTGCTTTTGTGTGATGGATAGTATATATCCATCTACTTAGTTGGTAGAGCTCGTTGGCAGTCATATGCACCGATCTATCCTTTCTTTCAAGAAAAGATAAAGCAAGAGAAAGCCAAAGCGATGAGCCGATGACCATGCTTTTCCTTTTCTGATCCTAGACATAGGCAAGAAAATTTATAGGGTTATTAGCTTTGACGCAGTTTTAGTTTAGCTTTCAAGTAAATCAAGTGCACGCACGAGGATTGGCTCAGGGACAGCAACAGTATGTTTGTTTTTTCTCTGCCAACGCCAAATGTGAAATGGATCAGTGAGATTTCTATGCAAATGGTTTATAATGAGCAGCAAGAGAAGTTGATGAATTATAGGTTTATTATATCACGTACGGATAATCATGTCTGAAGAAATTAGGGATGCCTGCTGATCTGGAATTAAACTGTCCTTTTTCAGGGGTCAAGCAGAGAAGGAATTCAAGGTGGAGGTAGAGGCGATCGGCAAGGTGAGGCACAAGCATCTGGTTGGTCTCGTTGGTTACTGCGCGGAAGGGCCCAAACGGTAAGTGATGCCACCAGCTCTGAATCCTCGATGAGTTCTGAGCATTAATAATTCAGCAGAAGTGAAAACGGGGGACAATGCAGCGATGCAAATAATCAATGCCATCATCACTCCGTGCTCACAGGATGCTCGTGTACGAGTTCGTCGAGAACGGCAACCTGGAGCAGTGGCTGCACGGCGACGTTGGCCCGGTCAGCCCGCTGACATGGGACATTCGGATGAAGATCGCCGTCGGAACGGCCAAAGGGTGATGACCGGTGTCGATTTGCCCTGAATTTCCATCTCTCGCTCTTCCGTATCGGCAGGTGACTGATCTGACATTGTGGATGCTGATATTGTCCATTGCAGAATAGCGTACCTGCACGAAGGCCTGGAGCCCAAAGTTGTGCACCGAGACATCAAGTCGAGCAACATCCTCCTGGACAAGAAGTGGAACCCCAAGGTATCCGACTTCGGGATGGCCAAGGTGCTCGGCTCCGGATCCAGCTACGTGACCACCCGTGTCATGGGCACGTTCGGGTATGTACACGCACACGTCGTGACACACGCTCACTGTCTCACCGCCGCTCCGTTGTTGATCTGCAATTTTTTGTATACTTCGCTAGCTATGTCGCGCCTGAGTACGCTTCGACGGGCATGCTGAACGAGAGCAGCGACATCTACAGCTTCGGCGTGCTGCTGATGGAGCTCATCTCCGGGAAGAGACCCGTGGACTACAGCAAGTCTGTCGGCGAGGTGATCGATCTATGTCACAGCAGATGGGGGTGCGTCAGTCAATCTGGCATTTGTAGGTGGCTGACATATATTGTGTTGGAGCGCGCCGTGCAGGTGAACTTGGTGGAGTGGTTCAAGGGGATGGTGGGGAGCAGGCGGGTGGAGCAGCTGGTCGACCCGCGGATCGAGGATCCGCCGGGGGCGAGGGCGCTGAACAGGGTGCTGCTGGTGTGCCTCCGTTGCATCGACTCCGACGCGCACAAGCGGCCCAAGATGGGGCAGATCGTGCACATGCTCGAAGGCGACGAGTTCCCCTTCCGCACGGTAAGTGTGTCCACGTGTGAGTGACGGGGCTCCTCTAACATACGTAAAAGAGACGTGTCTATGGGTTCATGGGGTGAACCCACCTGTTAACGACTTATGAGTATGTTTGGATAGCTTTTAGCTGCGGTGGCTTCTCGCAGAATCAAAAGTTTTCTCAGACAGTCCAGCTTTTGATCCAGATTATGAGAAGCTGTAGTTATAGAATACAGAAAATGAACTAGAAGCCAGAAGCTGAGAAACCCAGCTTTTCCAGATTCTTAGAAACTGGCTTTCAACCAGCTGCTTCTTAAAATTTTAAGATCGCTAAGCAGGCCCTACATCTCTCTAACTTTATGTTCGAAGAGCTGCTTCAGATGCGCTAATGGCGCAAGTCATATACTCCACTTGATTGCGAGCTAAAGGCAGCTGCATCTTGCAGGAGCACCGGACGCCGAGGGCGACGCACCGGACGTCGCCAAACAACACGCGGCCGTTGCTCATGTCGGAGAAGGTCGGAGCCGATGATTTGGACAGGTCGATGTGGCGATGATGATGATGAGCAGCTGACATTTTTCTCCCTCGACACACACGGTGTACATTTTTTGGTTCGTTTAACGCGCCCGGCCGGGATCCAGCGTTTGATAATGTTGTTGCTTTTGGGGGGGGGGGGGGGGGGGGTTTAAATTGTGTTTGGCGTAATGTATAAGTGACACGATGTTTTAAAAAGGCAATGTCGTCCCTGACCAAACGTTGATACGCTCCCTACGCGACTGATGGCTTCGTGTTGATCTGGCCGGGGACGGTTGAGTGGTTTTCGTCGTGGCATGTGGCGGTGCTCTGCTACGCATTTACAGTGCAAGTGCTTTACTCCATTGTCTCAAAAAAAAATTACCTCCTAAACTATCGCGGCGACCGAATTACCCCCATAAACCTAAAAACCAGACATTGCTTACTCAGAACTTTCAATACCGGACGAATTACCCCCTCGACCTAATCTAGGAGCAGTTTTATCCTACGTGGCGTATGCGTGGTAATCCGGTCAATATTTTATTTATTAAAAAAATATGAGACCCACCTGTCATTCTCCTCTTCCCCTCTTCCTTTATCTCTTCACACACACACACACTCTCTCTCATGGGGCGGCACGTAGGGGCAGGAGCTGGTCGGCGGCGCGGGGACGGGCGGTGCGGCAGGCGCAGGCAGTCGGCACAGACAGGGCGCTCATGGCGGCACGCGCGGTGGCGGCCGTGGCCGGAGCTGGGTCGGCGCGCCTCGCCACCTGCCTTTCCGCCACGGCCCTGCCTCGCCGCCGCCTCTAGTCACCGTCCGCGTCTCCGCCACGCCCCGCCACTGCCACCGCGCCACCATGAGAGCGCCGTCGTCCGGGTCGACCGCCCGCTCGCCCGCCCCCGCCCCACGGCCCCACCGCCCGTCCTCGCGCCGCCGCCCAGCTCCTGCCCCTGCGTGCCGCACCGTGAGAGAGAGAGAGAGAGAGTGTGTGTGTGTGTGTGAAGAGATAAAGGAAGAGGGGAAAATAAGTATGACAGGTGGGTCCTATATTTTTTTTAATAAATAAAATGCTGACTGGATTGCCACGTGTACGCCACATAGGACAAAACCACTTTGGATTAGGTTGAAGGGGGTAATTCGTCCGGTATTGAAAGTTCAGTGTGAGCAATGCCTGGTTTTTGGGTTTATGGGGTAATTCGGTCGATCGCGATAGTTCAGGGGGTAATTCATATTTTTTCTACTTTTTCTTAAATCTAAACATAGGCTATCAAATTAAAAAATACAAAAAAAAGTCAAATCAGTGTTAGAAACTGAATTGGGCCGCAGATGGCATGGGATGGCCACATGTCAAGTGAAGCCCATGCAAGCACACTGAACAACAAATACAAACTCTTAATTTCCCATAAAAACAAACCTAAGACAAGTTAAGACACATCATAATAGTTCATCCGTTTTTTAATATATGACGCCGTTGATTTTTTACATATGTTTGACCAATTCGTCTTATTCAAAAACTTATGTAATTATCATTATTTTATTGTGATTAAATTTTTTGTCAAATGTTCTCTAAGTATGACTTACTCTTTTTATATTTGTACAAAAGAATCCAAATAAGATGAATGTTTAAACGTTTGTCAAAAATATAACGGGGTCATATATTAAAAAATAAAGATGAATGTTTAAACATTTGTCAAAAAAAAGAACGGGGTCATATACTAAAAAACGAATGTAGTACTATGAATTTGTACTGTTCGGATTTTTTATAATCCGGATTTTAGTTTAGAATATATCGCATCTCATCCTAAGTTTGTTTTTTAAGGACGGAGGGAGTTGCGCTTGGTAGGGCATCGAAAAAATAGAACGCCAGAATGACTACGACGATAACTTTGAGGCCGGTTCAGCTCCTCGTCGATCTTCTTCCCTACATCTCATCTTCCCTACTTGTTCTACAAACTCGCCGTATCTTCTAGCCTTGTATCCTAAACTATTTTCCTCTTCAGGTACACCAAATATATGTGATTTTCATTGTTATTAGAATTAGAGAAAAAGTTGCTAACAAGTACATGCATGGTCCTAAATGTTTAAAGCGAGGTCACATTTAGGTCCAGAATATTGTAAATACAATATTTAGATACTTTTTAATGTATTATAGTAGGTCCAGTGCACGTCTGATTGTGTTCGACAGCCGACGTGGCTATCCACCATGCCTACACATATGTAGTTAGCCCCCTCTATGGCGGGGGGGGGGGGGGGTGAGGGGGGGTAATGCGCGACTAGTCGCACGGCTCCCCCGGCGCGCGACTACTCTGTACGTATGTTAACAATCAAATTTGGTAATATCTGCATCGGAAAGAAGATTGGATTGAAGCGGAATCAAACATGAGAATTATCGCGGAAACAGAGTAAGAATCGGCTGAGGTTTGGATCGGCTAAGTCCGAGTCAGACTGGGTTAAGTGATACAACCGATTCCGACAATACAACTTGTATCCGATATCGGGTTTGAGTTGACGTACTTCAAGATGATTGCCATACATGGATAGAGTCCTGGGAAGGCGATTAATTGTATCTATTAATTAAGATATTTTATGTAAATTCCTTAGAGATAAATATGGGTAAAAGTCTGCCGCAAAGACTTATGGTATCTTAGAGTTTGTTAGAGATAATAGTCGTGTCCGGTATGGGCATATCTTGTAATTCTCGGGTATAAATAGACCCCGAGCCCTATGTAATTTTAAACACACGTTCAATACAATTTCGGCGCATCGCCACCCTTTCGCTTTAATTTTATTTTGACAAGTTCTTGCTTTCGTGTTGAGCTGCATCGGTTTCGATCTTCGACAAGAGGTAAAACTTGTTATGACGGCTTACGTTCTCGAGATTCGTCGAGTTATCATATATCTTACATAATCTTTGACAATATCGTTATCTAACCTACTATCGACTAACATCTGTTAGTAGAAGGCAGCCGATTAGGTTAAATTTTGACGTTGATTTAGATTATATAAGATATCTACCACTCTATGAAACTCCCAGCGGCTTGATTGTCTAGATATTGTTCTTCTTTTCGTACTTAATGCTGCATCAGTTGAGTTTGATCTATTAAGTCGTGCTTAGAATCGGAGTTTCAGCCGATCTTATCTGATTTAACTATATTTGCTCTATATGTTTCATTGACACGTTAAATCTGCCCTTTATGTCAAAATATTATTGCATCTAATTATATTAAGCTTCTGTTTAGTATATTCTGCCTGTTTTAACATCTTAACATAGAGTCGTATAGGAGTATTAGCCATTATATGCTAGATCTATCTGATCGGCTATGCTATGAACATATATAATCCTGTTATTAATGTATATTTCGATCTAAGTGATTTATACGGTCTCGGCATGGCGACCGAATCTATCCCAATCACTTGATTTAAGTATGTATCGATATAAAAATTATATATTGTTAATATCTACAGCCGATCGAATAGATTTAGTTCTTTATTACCTATTTGCAACCGCCGATCGATTTACATATGACATCGGCTCAGAGATAAATGATACGTCATCGGCACTTAGCCGATCGGCTATCATTTATAGGTTTAAACTGCGGTTTCTTTATATTTATTTCTTGTTGATTGCAGGATCAAATCAACTGGCACGCTAGCATACCCGAAGACGAGTTTTGGACCTACACTGGAATTAAGCAGATCTCCCAGGCCTCGTGTTTTTCGTCATCAACGTACTAGTACTAGTCTATTACAAGTAGTACTACTACACTAATGTTATAATAATACTAATATTATTACTATATATATATATATATATATATATATATATATATATATATATATATATATATATATATATATATATATATATATATATATATATTATATTTATATATTTTTGATGTATAAAAAATATACACATACAAAGTTTATATACGTGTCGTATATAAAGTTTGTATACACGTATACAAAGTTTGCATGCGCGTACACAAAGTTTGCATACACGTACACAAAGTTTGTATGAATGTATACAAACTTTTTTATAGGTATACGTAAATGCTAAAAAACCGAAAAGAAAAAAACGGAAAGAAAACCGCAAAAAACTGAAAAGAAAAAAAAAGCAAAAACAGAAAAAAAAACCAACAGAAAAAACTGTAGGCCCCACCTCTACGCATGCGCTGTCGTGTGGCCCCCTCCGCGCGCGCCACGTGCCTCGCCGCGCGGGGAGGCACGTGGCGCGGCTGAAATAAGGTCAGTGTCCTACAACCAAAAAAATTACCATAATTTTCGTGTGTAGTCAAACAAAGTCAACTTTTTTATGATATCCTTCAATAAATATCATATTTCTTCGAGTGTCATGTAGTAAATAGTTTAGAAAACAAGATACGTATACTTATCCTGCACTCATTTTCGACCTAAAATTGCAGCCATTGGTTCAACACACACACACGAGTGCTTTTGGCTAAAATTTCATAAAAGTATTAATTTTAAGAAATAACATTAACAGTTGTCCTCTGGCCCTGCATTTCATCAATATTAACTCTAATAAAACACATAAATATCAATCTTCATCCTAAAACAAATGAATGAATACTTAGGGTTTGTTGGCACACTTTTCAAACATCAGTGTGTTTCGTGCAAAAAAGTTATAATATTAGAGTTACTTTAAAAAATGAAACAGAATCTTTTTAAAATAATTAATACTTAATTAATTATGCTAATCACTTTTGTTTGCATGCAGCTAAGGGCAGTCCCAATCTCTACCTAGGATTGTATCTATGACATTTACTATATTGCTATATAGAACTTTTAGTTTATGTGGTACTATATTAATTAAGAGAGAGTGAAGAGAGGAAGAAATTGGGTCCCATGCAAGACACAGCTTCAACACAAGAACCTACGCACTAGATGCTATCAAGTTTTGAGAGAAGTGTCTTTATAATAGATGAAGAATAAATATGATTGGTAGAGAAGAGAGATGATGTATTTATTAATGGCCAAATTTAAAAAACCATGGATTGTAGAGACATTATATACACAGTTTATAAATACTATGGATTGGGACTACCCTAATCAGTTGTTTCCGACCTCTATTTCCAACCTCTATATGGTAGAACGGGCCCTAACCTCGATTGTTCTTGTTTCCAATCTCTCTAAAACGGGCCCTAACCTCGATTTAAAACAGGCCCTTAATCAACCTAGGCATGCAGTCGAACTCATATTCGTAATTTATTACTAGCATTTTCGATCGAATAACTCATACTAGTAAGTACTCCATTTGTCTTGGCCCACCTACATTTGCATTTAAGCTTGCGGCCCAAATAACATGAGTATTACGTTTAAGGGTATGTTCACTTTTGATGTCATTTTCAATCTTACCAAATTTTAATAAAATTATCAAAAAAAAAATATTTATATTTAATTTAATGCCAAATTTTAGTAACTATATAACAAATCCTACCAAAATTTTAAAATTTTAGCATGTTACAAAAATTTTAAAATTTTAGCATTACCAAATTTTGGCAAGATTTTTGTTTCATCAAATGAACAGGACCTTATATTGAGAACAGAACTGCACGGGCATGATCACTTTGATGTAATTTTCAACCTTACTAAATTTTGATAAATTTACTATAAAAAAAGTGGCTACATTTAGTTTGCTGCCAAATTTTGGTAACTATATAAAAAATCCCAAAAATTTGACTAAGTTCCCAAAATTTTGGCATTGGTTGGTAAGGTTTTTTTTAAAACTTACTATATATATAAAATAGCTACATTTAGTTTGCTGCCAAATTTTGATAACTATATAAGAAATCCCAAAAATTTAACAAGTTCCAAAAAAAATTTTGGCATTGGTTGGTAAGTTTTTTTTTAGCATAAAGTAAACAAGCCCTGCAACTTACCAACTGTTAAAAATTAAATCAATACAAGTACCTATTAACGAGTATATCAATACAAGTACCTATTAACGAGTATAATCTTCACCTAATGTAGACCATTTAAAATAATAAGGAAAACAGACTTGCCAAGCACAAATGATATTTGGATTTGGGCCTCTAACCGCACAAATCCCAGTACAATTGGATTTGGGCCTCTAACCTTTAACAGGACCTTGGTGGAATTGAACCACCTTCCATCCGTAACCGGAGAGCGTAAGCCCAACAATCAACGGAGGATCTCCCGAACTGAGAAAAGATCCACATTACCGCCAATTAAGCGAACTGAGATTTTCGTATGTAACGTCCATAACTATTTTGTCTAATGGTCCGATGTTGTATTACAAGTTGGATTTTTTTTCCCTCAAAGTAACAAATTTTATAAACCATTTCAAATAATATATATATTAGTTAACCAAATATGATAAGATTTAAGAGTATTTTGAATTGAACCGTTTACCTCAGTTTGTGCGTGCACTTCTTTAAACAGAACCAAAACATCCTAAACACACTACACAACTCTGAAAAAACAAAACAATACTCGAGTGATTTTTACCAAAACAATAGAGCCCTTCAAAATTTGACTTGGTGTTTTCTGCCCTACAAAAGACTTCATCAGCTTACTTTTAGCTCATTATTAACTACATAATAAACTCAAATCAAACATAACCTTGTGAAAAACGTCAGCTAATATAGTAGTGTAACTCATCGTGTAAAATAAAAACGAGTGTCTTATCCTTTTGGTATAACATGTAGCCGCCATGCTGTTTACACGACCCAAATTACAGCCATTTACCTCCGGATTGACCTCAAGAAAACAAACCTTCCGCAGCAGAGACGGAACTGTTATCCAGAACCTCCATGGTGCTCAACTCTCACCGAAGAAATTTATAATGATACATCTGGCAATTAGTCCAAACAAGGTTGGCACCCCAGACTTCAAAGCTGCAACAGCTTAATCCAGCATACCGGAAAGTCGGTCCAACAATAACCATGAAAATTGATGAGCACCAACAATTACCAACATTAGACAAGTCATTCCTGAAGCACCATGTAATGAGCACAGGTGATCACAGCAAAACATCATCATCTTGCTTCAGATGTCAAGCTTCAGATGTCAAGATCCCAGACGGCCACCTCAACCAAGTTTGATTCGCAAGAATACTCCTTTCTTCGGGTGACTTCAGGTTGAACTTGTCTTCAGGTCACCTTAAAACGACGAGAGAATGCTACAATTTCTACATAGTACAAACTATGATGAATAGACAAATGCTAAATAACTTTTTGCTTCAAGAACATAAATTCTCGTACTTCAACGTACAGAAACTAACATAATGCTAAGGAGGACAACATATGATCATATTCTACAGCTTGCAAAAGAGGTTACATTGCTGACTATCCAAGAAAAGAAATTCTCACAGTGCAAATATATAAAACATTACTAGCCTTCTCGTACATGCATAAATACAGAAAGGGCAAAGTGAAAGAGCTGAGCGGTTAAATCATACACAATTAGTTGATATTAAGGCGCAGGAGCGCTGTAAATTCTGGGCAAGAACAAGAGCTTATTTCACTTAAATTGGACAAGAGTTCTCCAATCGTATGCTGGAAACATCATAATAGTATTTGACCAACATAACATACTTCCAAACTGATAGTTGACAGTTCGGAGTATAGCTGAGCACATAATCTCGGAAGCAAATATTACCACTACACCGACTTATGGATATATTTAAGTATACAAAGCAAGTACTAGATATTCGTTAGAACAATTGCGTAGTATTCCAGCTGCTCTTAAACCAATTACCAAGCGTAACTTTAATCAACTTGAGTCAATATGTGAGATGCACTTCTAGGGATGATAATACTGCTGTTTATCAGGGATATTAATTGGCAATGATAATAATAATTAAGTAATTCAAGCAATTTAAAGTAAATCCAGGAATATTATGTGACTAGGGATATTTTAAGGCAGTGATAATTATGAAACGCTGAATGATATGGAAATTTGATTACGACTAATATTGCACATGTAGATTATCTTTTGTACCTTGGTTGTTGCGCTGTAGCTCCACGTTTAGATTCACGCGCGATCGTTGAACGATGTAGTCGCAGTGGGATCTGAGGACAACCAGGGGACAACGGGACACAAGATTGGGGGGAGAACCCGGGGCTAAACAAAATAACCCCCGTGCGAACTCCCCCCAGGACACAAAAAGATCATCTTTATTACGGTGGCCTGCCATGCGAGCGCACCCAACATGGCAAAGGCCAATCTTGCGATGTCACATCTCTCGTTTTTTTTTCGTCTCTTTTTCTTTTGACCCTCAGACACAAGCACCTCGCTTGTTACATGTTCTCTTACCTTGCCGCCTTCATCTCAGCACACGGCTCCCTCGAACAACATCTCTTAGATCTAATAATTATCGAAAGTTCATCGAATAATTATCAATACAAAGAGACATCATCGCGCGAGGCCCCGATGGAGAGGATCCAGGCGACGACCAGCCTCCTCCCTCGCCCCGCCGCTTCATCCACGCCAGCTCGTACGGAGCATGCCCCAACCGGACCTCTAAGAGGTCAGATCTACACGCGACAACACAAAGAAATCCACAGATCAGCACGCGGTTGCGACATATTCAGGAAACAAGCCATGCAAGTAAATCGAAACGAAACATCTAAGCGACACGGATGCTGAACTCACCGGCTCCAGATCTGACTCGCCGAACGCGAGGACGAGCAGCAGCAGCAGCTTCCGCCGATAGATCCATGGCCGCCGAAGGATGAGCAAGTCCATCCAAGATCTGAAACCTGCGCAACAGAAAAAACAAACGCGTGTTGTCCATATAAAGGGAGGGAAAACCTCACCGTTCCGGCATCGGAGGCGACGGATTCGACCCGGAATCAAACGGAAGTCCTACCATGGAAGGGATTCGGGGTGGCGAAATTCTAGTTCTGGGAGGAGGAGATGGGGAAAGCGGCTAGGGTTGCTTGGCTACGGTGGGTGGTGGAGAGGCGAAACAGAGGAAGCAAGGTATTTATGGTCTGGTCAGACGCAGCGGACGGTCCGGATGAGGCGGTTGTGCTCGGACGGCCAGGATGCGAGGCACGTGGCGCGGCGCCATTGGCTGAGACAGCTGGATCGCACAAGGACACCGCAACTTGCGGGGTATTTGACGTCACTGCGTGCGTCATCTGCTTAACCGGATCGTTTGCGGGAGCGAACACGAGGATGCGGTTTGTGGCCGACGGTATTGGGGATCCTGATTGGCTGCGACGCGTATTCTAGATCTGAGCTATTTAGGCCATGTAGCCCAATTTTAGGCCTTTTAGCCCAAATGATAATCACGAGGTGTTCTATAGGCCTTTTAGCCCAATTTTCACTACAGTTGGTCATTGTATTTGTTGGTGGAATAAGTTTATGTTTTCTCCCTCCTGTCTAGCCATTGGTCGAATCGCATCCCTCACTAGCAAAACGGGGTATAATGCCTCCCATTTCCGAAAACCGATACAAATCAACTCCTTAAGTGGTTTTGTAAACGTTTTTGTCCTATATGCGCTTAGGTGGCATTGTAGATAGAAAAAAATAATGGCAGTGGGTCCCATATGTTAGTGAAGCATTCATCCTCCTCCCTCTTTTTCCACATCCCAAGCCAGCAATTCTGGCGAGCTCACACCACCATGATCATGCCGCAGCCACCACGAATCAAGCATCACCCTCGCCGCCACCCAATTTCTTCAGCGCCACCATTGCTAATGGCGGCTTGTAGCGCCCGTTCCGTCGTGGTGCCTAGCGGGAAAACTATCTCTTAAAAACTCTATTTGCGAAATATGTTTCTTTGCTTGCTGTCTAGTGTCCGTGCCATCTCAGATCTCAAATCCCCGATCTATCGCCGAGTTCAATCCCGAATCCCAATCCTTCCCAAATCAATCCCTCCGCAAAAGTCTATTTGGCCTCCCTCGGGTTCGATGGGCCGAATTTCTCTCGGCCCATCTCCCCCTCCCTCCCCGGCTCTCTCTCTCTCTCTCTCTTTCTCGTTCTCTCTCTCTCCCTCTTCTCCGCTCTGTCAGCGCGCCGCGCGCGTGTGCGCGTGAGCCGCGCCGAGCCGAGCCCTCCCTCTCCGCTCCCTCGCTGCCGCTTCCCGCGCGCCGTTGTTCGCGTGCGCGCGCCCGCGTGGTCGCCGCCCGTGCCGCGCCTGCGCCGTCTGCGCCGCCCGGCCCCACTGCCCTGCCGCGCAGCCGCTCGGCCCCGTGAGCCAGCACGCGTGCCCAAGCCGCGCCGCTCAAATCGCCGCGCCGCCCGTTGCTTCCCGCGCGCACGTGCCGTGGTGGCCGACCGCCTGGTCGCCGCCGCCGTCAGCCTCTGCCGCGCCTGCCCGCGCCTGTCGCCCGTGTCGCCGCTTTGCTCCACACCGTCCCCGCCGTCATCGCCGTCGTCATCGCCCGGCCCCCGCCACTCCACGCGCTAGCCTCCAAGGGACGGAGGCAGAGCTCCTCCTCCCTCTGCCGCGTCGCCCCCGCTCCCCTCCTCCTTTTCCCAAAGAGGCAAGGGGCAAGCCCCCTTTCTCTCCCTCCTTTTCCCCTTTTTCTCCCGCCGGCGTCATCCTCCCTCCGCCCTGTCGCCGATTTGGCCGCTAGCCGGAGCGCCAGCTCGCTGGCTTGACCGTCCAAAGTCGGTTCCCCTCTCCCAAACCGACATTGCCATCCTATAAAGCCCAGGCGCCCTCCCTCTCTTCTCCTCTCGTTGTCCCATCGCCTCCACTCCATTGTCGCCGCCTCCCGTGCTCTGTACGCCGTCGCCGTTTGTCGTCGCGCGTGTCGGAGGAGCCGGCACGAGCGAGGACGCGGAAGGGGACTCCGGGCGCGCCCTCTTCTTCCTCTTCCTCGGCCCGAGGCCGAAACGATCACGTTTCGCGCCGTCGGCTCTCGTCACTGCGCCCGCCCGCACGGTAGCGCATCTCCCCGTTCTCCCTCTTCGCTCCATCTCCTCCCCTTAGACTCGGGTAGTAGCATGAGTAGCCTCCCCGTAGCTAGCCGGCGCCGCCCCGACGGTTGCCGTCGCTCGCCGTGTGCTCGCCACCGTCGTCGCCCGAGCTCGGAAGCGCCGCTCGTCGCCGGCCTCGCTCGGCGCCGCTCCGCCCAATCCAACGCTAGCATCGGATTCCCGTAGCCGCGTAGATGCTCTCGCCGCCGGGAATCGGCCCCTCGTGACCTCGTCACCGTTTCCCCCTTCTTCCGCCGCCGGTTGCCACCGCCGCAATCCGCCGCCGTCGAGCATCCCCCGGCAAATCCGAGCCGTTGGCTCGACTCCCCTCGTCCCGTGCAACTTCCCGGTGTGCTCGCTTTCGCCTAGATCACCGTGTTTCGCTCCGCCGCTCGCCACCGCCGTCCGCCGTCCGTTCCGGCCGGCGTCTTCTTCAACCTCCCGCCGGCCCGCGTGGCTGCCACGTAGGCGCCACGTCGGCGCCAGCTCGGCCAAGACCGGGTCGAGCCGACCCCGGTCAGCCGCTCCCTCCGGCCCCGCTCGCGGGCGCGGTCCACCGCGAACCACGCGCATGCACCGCGCCCCGCTCCACACCCTAGCGCCGCGCCGCGTGCTCCCTCCGCACGGTGAGCCAAGCCGCTGACAAGCTGGTCCCACCCCGGACCACGCGAGATGGACTCGGTCCACCGGCGCCCTCTCTCTCCCCTCCCCGCGCCCTATTGGGCCGTGTCCTCTTGGGCCGGCCGGCCCATTTAGCTCGGCCGAGCCGCCCCTTTTCTCTCGGGCCGCGCCCTAGCCGCCCGAGGGAAGTCTACTTCCCCTCCCTCTACCTTTTCTTTTTCCAAAAGGGTTTAATTAAATCATTTTTCCTTTAGACCAAAAATCCAATAATCTTATAAATTCAATATCTTCCCAACCGTAAGTCCGTTTGACTCCGTTCAACTTCCAAAATTCCTCAAATCTCGAGATCTATCTAATGGCACGCTTAGAGGTCATTAATAGGACTTTATTTTCGCCGTTTGTTGAGTCGTCCCGTTTTGCGTGTAGTTTCGGAGCCCGAAGACCCGCAGTGCGAGGATTTCGATGATCAAGCTCAAGATCTCGAGCAAGGCAAGCCACCTTTGAACATCTTGAGCCTATATTTGAACTTAATTATGTTGCTTGAAAAATATTATGCATTGATAGGATCGCACTTAATCTGTTTGTCCCGTCTGCAAGGCAGATTGGCGGACCTACCTAGTTTGTTGCATTTGATCCTTCCTTTGTCAATTGTTATACCATATTCACTTGTAACCACCCAGTTGCGCCTCGGAAATCGTGCACTCTGCACGAGTATCGACGGTCGCCTTCAAACTTAAAATCTGAAAAACAACTTGGGTAAAACTTGGGTTTTACAAAAGACTTGGAAAACCCGACACCTGGGTCGGTGCTTGCGAACTAAATGAATTTCCAAAACCGCGGACCGGGGATCGTACCGGGTGTACGGTTTCTCGCTCTTGCACTTAAGGACCGTTTCCTTGGAATTTCATCCGAACATAAGACAAGTACGACCACATGGGTGGAATGGGACACCCCTGGCTGAGTAACTAGCTTATCAGGGGAGCCTTGATGCCGAGAGACATGTGGATTCGCCGGGGTGGTGTCGGGGAGGACCCCTGGGCTTCCTGGCACAGTATGGTCTGGGACCTAACCTGTTGTTGGTCTGGGACCCCTCTCGTCGGCATATGGTAAACCTGTGTCGGCTTTGGAAATGCCTTGTCATGAAAGCTTGGAGGTCTCCCGACGTGGCTGATCCCCACGGGCTGGGTGATCCGGGTTAGTAATGTCGTGTGGGTAAAGTGTACCCCCTCTGCAGAGGTTAACAAACTGTTCGAACAGCCGTGCCCACGGTCATGGGCGGATGTGAGGTGATTCCTAGCGTAGTTTTGTTTGACTACTGCCTTGTGAAATTGCTGTTGTGGAAAGGGGTTCAATGTTTGGAAAATCTGCAGCTGATGGGATCAGCTAGGCCCGGGTGGCCGTTTGAAAGTTGTTGGCCCGGGTGGCCGTTTGAAAGTTGTTGGCCGGGTGCCAATCTTGAACAATTTTAAAGACTGATACATTGCACATACTCCGACCGGACGAGACGCACTGTCTCATCCGTGTCGTTTGAGAAGCACTCACTTAGTTGTTTTCAGAAAAGAGTTCAAATAAAATCAATTGCAAAAACAACAGCCTTTCGTTGAAGCCTGCATTAAACACTTATTTCCCATGGCTTGCTGAGTACTCCCGTACTCACCCTTGCTCTATATAAATAATCCCCCCCAGTTGCTGAAGAAGATGAAGCGGATCCCGCTGACGAGGAGTTCTTCCAGGAGCAAGCCGGCTACGATGAGTTTTAGGGTTTCGGCCTAGTTCCCAAGTCGCGCCTGTGTTGCTTGGTCCAAGTCTTGGCTTCCGCTTCCCTTTGTAATGCAGTTGTGAGCTCGGGATCTGTCCGCAGCCCAGCATGACTGTACCTCTACTCTATAATAAAGAACTTTGTTGCTGTGATATTCTGTCTTCCTGTGATACCAGCACTGTTTCCTGGGACTGGTATCGATTAACAGGTTAATTTAGAGTGTCACGGGCTAGTTCCGGTCGGGACTAGTTTGGGGCGTGACACGGCTGCTTTCGACCACAACGCTCCCCTTGCCACACGCGTTGTTGTCACAACCTTGAGGAGCTCCCACCGTCGCCTGAGGGACCACCTTCCTCAGCTCCAACTCACCACCATTGCCGCCCCCCCCCCCCCACTTGCACAAGTGGATGTTTTCGTGGAGGGGGGCAACGGCGGCGATGCGTCGAAGGATATAGATGAGAGAGGGCCGGCTTGGGGATAGCAAGTGCCTCCTCGAGCTCCCGTGCCATCGTGGCCTATGATGTCCTTGCTTTATCGACCTCCCGCAGCGCAATAGCCTCCTTCGGCAGCAACGTTTTCGTGGTCCTGTCACGTCCATCTGCAGCAGCTTGTCCCTGCTAGTCCCGCCACATCCATGCGTCACATATGGATGGACGGCCTTTGCCCCTCTCCCTCCTCCTCACACGTACGTCACTCGACGAAGATGATCACGACACCAAAGAGCTAGAGAGGAGGCATGGCTGACGCATGACTACTAAAGTCCATCCTCTCTTTGGGGGCATGGGTAGGTGGATCTGTCATGGATAGGAGGTGGAGACCAAGGTGTGGGGGCGCGGCAAGGCGGATCCATCTCCGCCAACCTGTCCCTCTCCTCCTCTTCGCAGGCGTTGATGCCCGTCAGTCTGTCCCCGGACCATGGAGAAGAAGCGATACCAAAGAGAGAGAAAATGGTAAAGGGAAAGAAGTGAGACTGACATGTGAGGCCCACTGTCATTTTTTTTCTATCTAGAATAACACCTAAGTGCCACGTATGACGAAAACCGCTTTAGAAAACTACTTGAGAAGTCAATTTGCACCGGTTTCCGGAGATAAGGACGCTACCCGGTTTTGTGGTTGAGGGATGATATTCGACCAAAGGCAAGAGATAAGGGACGCAGAGACTTATTCTTTTCATGGCCGTGTCATTTGGGCCTTTAGCCCATCTTGATTTAATTTTGTCGAACATTAATCGTTGCTTCAAGATCTGCAAACTCTTTCAGTTCAACAAATAAAAGATGTTTGTCATGCCAAACTTTGTATTACTTGAAATGGGCCGTGGGCCGGCCTTATTCCAACTCACTGCTGGACTCATCATTTATTTTTTTGTTTATAGAAAGAATACTAAAATAAACCATATGTTACCGTATTTATTTTAAGAACCATAGATTACCTTATAATATAAAATAAGAAATATTTATTATGTGAAATAAATTATAAACTTTGATATACTAATTGATAATATCTATTATATTCAAACAAATTTCACTTTGTCATGGCTATACATAAAGTCGCATATCACCATCTTTCGTAAACATACAGGTTAATATGGGTTTAGATTTTTTTCTTTTACTATACATCTAAGTCACCTACGTATATTCATGGGTAATATTCGAAGGAATAATTCATATTGTCAAAATTATTTGTGCTAATTTTGTCAACACTATTTAGATGAGAATGACATACTTATATAAGGATATAATAGGTTTCCATGCGACATTTTTTATTGTACGTATGTATTTTTTTTGTATTTTTTTTGTGAATAGTACTGCGCATATTCGTAGGATGGTTGTGCACATATTTATATGAGTGTCTATGATTTCGTTTTAGATCATTAGTTAAAAAAATATTTTAAAAAAGTTTTGTGGGATGGCATGAAGCGATGCCACGGTGGCATGACTTTTTCGATAACATCGTAAAGAGTTTCACTATATATATGCATAATTTGAGGAAAACTTTAGTGCTGCAAAGAAAGAAACAAAAAAACAACCAGACGGAGCAGATCATATATACATTCTTCTTTTTTTTTTCCTTTTTGACATCTCTTGTATAGGTACGTACATAGGGAGAGATTAGTTGGTTTTTAGCTCGAATATATCCAATATAATGGTTGAAAATAATGGATCTACCAGTTGAAGTGTAAATTGATGACCAGATATTTTCTTTTTTATATTTTTCCTTATACTTTTTTTCTAATTTATGAGATCTATTACGTGATATATTAAGGGTTCTTGTAGAAGTGTAGAATTCTATTGCTTATACTGACAATATACTTGTAATCGATTATTATTTGCTGTGGCTTGGTGGCATGCTTTACTTTACCTATCATTTGTTGATAGTTCTCCACTTAGCATAGTCCGTTATATATGGTGCTTCATGACATAAGTGCTCGTTGGATGGTAGCTAATTATTAGGTGCACTATGAATGAATACCTCGTAAGCAATATGACTTGACGATTAGTTGATAGAATTTATATACTTATGGATAAGTGGTGGCATATGATTATATATTAGGATATTTTTTTATTCATAAAGTATATTATATACTACACATTAAACATTTTAGTAAATAAGCAATAAGTTCTAGAGTACTTATCAGATTGGTTGCTCCTTGTTTTCCCAGTTATCTACCCATTGATATAGGAATTATTACAAAAGACATATCTTTTGATAATAATATCTAAATCCATCTGAACCATTTTATGCACTATAATTAAATTGACAACCATAACCTACATCGTATATATTTAAAAGCAACTTGTGTATAATTAAAATATATTTTATATAAAAGTTTAAAAATTAAATAAATCTATTTTGGCTTTATTATATTCAATATTTAATTAATCTTGCACTAATGATATGTGTCGTTTCATGTATCCTGAATAAGCTCAGCCATCCAGCTACAGCCATCCAGCTAGATCAAATGAAGCATAAGTAGAAGATAAAGTAGATCAGTATGGTGTGAAAAGAATATATACAATCTTTGATATTTAAATATTATACGAATAGAGAAAACACATTCATGATAAATTTAGTGATATCAGTTTGACATATCATTATTTTTTATAAGGAGTAGGTAACTTTTGAGAATTGCTAGTCACAATTAGAATTGTTTTTATTTTAAAAAATGCAAGTCTAATTTAACTATTACATAATATATACTTTAATTAATTTTTTCTTCTCATTGGTGTTTCGATGACATGTGCCTATATTTTTACAACGTAAGTAGAGCATAGTTAATATGGGCAGTTTGGTTTTCTATCCGAGTGAAAAAAAAGAAAATAAAAAGATGTCGTTAGCCCGGCCTGCTTATGTACATATGTACGTACTTTTTTACCTTGGAATATATAATAATATCTAAATCCATCTGAACCATTTTATGCACTATAATTAAATTGACAACCATAACCTACATCGTATATATTTAAAAGCAACTTGTGTATAATTAAAATATATTTTATATAAAAGTTTAAAAATTAAATACATCTATTTTGGCTTTATTATATTCAATATTTAATTAATCTTGCACTAATGATATGTGTCGTTTCATGTATCCTGAATAAGCTCAGCCATCCAGCTAGATCAAATGAAGCATAAGTAGAAGATAAAGGAGATCAGTACAGTGTGAAAAGAATATATACAATCTTTGATATTTAAATATTATACGAATAGAGAAAACACATTCATGATAAATTTAGTGATATCAGTTTGACATATCATTATTTTTTATAAGGAGTAGGTAACTTTTGAGAATTGCTAGTCACAATTAGAATTGTTTTTATTTTAACAAATGCAAGTCTAATTTAACTATTACATAATATATACTTTAATTAATTTTTGCTTCTCATTGGTGTTTCGATGACATATATGTGCCTATATTTTTACAACGTAAGTAGAGCATAGTTAATATGGGCAGTTTGGTTTTCTATCCGAGTGAAAAAAAAAGAAAATAAAAAGATGTCGTTAGCCCGGCCTGCTTATGTACATATGTACGTACTTTTTTACCTTGGAATATATGTACGTACCTTTTTTTTTTGGAATACCTACTAAACGTCCGTACTTATGTGCACATGCACATAAAGATTGGCAATATTGGGTTTTGGAGATAATTTTAATTGGTATGTTTTACAATAGATCTAATGGTTGAAAATCATGGGTAATATACGATGGAATAATATGTAATGTTAATAATTAGCATATTATTATATAGATGGGAATGATATAATTAAGAAGATATAATATGGTTACATGCGACATTTTATGAATGTGGGAAATACTAAAATGACTTACATTGTAAAACAAAGGAAGTATTATTTGTTGTGGCTTGGTGGTATCAATTCTTACCTATCATTTGTTGATGGTTTCTCACTTAGAATTGTCCATTATCAGTACTTGATAACACACTGCATATTAGATGTCATCTAATTATTAGGTGCATTAAGCACGGATGCCTCATAAGTAATTAATATGACTTGATAATTGGTGGATAGTGGTTTGTATATGAAACTTATACACATAGGAATTAGTAGGGATATATGATTGATATATTTAGCTCTATTCCTAATTGACAAAATATATTATATACTATATATTTTATAGTAAATTTAAGGTTGAGTTCTAAAATCTTATCGGATTGGCTACTCCCTTTATGGTGAGATGTTTCCTGAAATGATTCATGTTTTCAGATACTTTCTATGCAAAGTTTTTTTAAAATATCAAATAAAACCATATTCAAGTTTGTAATATTTAATAGTTAATTAATCTTACGCTGACGACATGCTTTTTTTTCGCGTGTCCTAGATAAGCTCATCTAATGAGGTAGACCGAATGAAGCCTAAGAGATAAAAAAAATACATCCACATGGTGTAAAAAATATATAATCGTTAATTTTCCAAAAATATATGAATAAAGGAACATATAATATATGAAAATATATTCATGATAATTTAATAATGTCATTTGGGCATATCAATATTATACAGTAGGGAGTGAGTAAATTTTTAGAACGCTGCTCATAATTTAAATTCTTTTTATTTTTTGAAAATATAAGTCCAATAATTTAACTATGTTATTAAGAGATATACAATCATATAATCTACAATTTTAATTTATTAATATTTTTAATGGATGTTTTGATGCGATGCACTATTTAGAATAAAACTTGAAATAGCATATATTTTTACAACTTTAATTTAACATAGTTTTTCATCTAATCTACCATATATTAAATGAAAATCGATGGCTAATATTTTCTTAGAATTTCTATAATTTATTAGATCGCCACATGGCGGCGTAGGAGCGTTTCTAGGGGTCCTATGTGGCGGCTTAGGAGGGTTTCTAGGAAGTTTAATGGACTTTTAGTATATAATAGATAGATAGATAATAGATAATAGATATATTACTACTATCTTACTATATCCTTTCCTGATCACATCTACACATAGCACAAACTGCCACCAAAAAAAAGGAAAACGAAAACGAAAACGTGTACATGCATCCTGTACTTTCCTAGATATTTCCTTTTGATTTTATATATCCAACAATTAGGTCAAAAGGCTCTTCTTTTTTTTCTTTCCTTTTTTTTACTCCTGCTCATCATCCTGTGCAATTCTATGAACCCTAATGGGAAGGCCCTTGGGGAAGTCGACGAAGGGGAAGACGAAGGCTTGGTCCGGCTCGGCGAGCTCCCACCTGAAGTTGAGCACCAGGTGGTGCAAGAACACGGCCATCTCCAGCTTCGCGAGCTCCGACCCGGCGCACAGCCGCGTCCCGCCGCCGTACGGCATGAAGCTGCTGCTCTGAGCCAAGCCGCCGGATGATCCGCTACTCTGCAATCGAACAAAAGAAGAACACTTGTGTGTCAACAATTCGAAGCGAAGTTATCGTATCAGCAGTAGTAATTATTGTTTTTTTTTTCGCGTCATGGAATGATCGATTGGCTGCAGTTTTTGCGCAGCAGATTATCTTGCTCAATCTCCTGCAGGATAATCCGGACACATGTCTTTTTCGCGGCTGCATGCAGACGAGCAGATAATCTCGTCGGCGTTGGCAACTACACCACACACAGATCCATTGTTCGATCGATCGATCGAGCATACATACACACATGCGTCGTTCACCCCTCAACAACTAATGTCCGTGAGTCGCAGCGGATAAGAATGGAGATGTGATGGATGGACTGCAGGGCTCCAATCGTCCACTGATTGGTTCGGTTTGATCCGCTTGCGATTTGGACCAACGCTCCTGGATTTTTCTCGCACGAATGCATAATCCATCACGGCGTCGCCGCCTAATCCCCCGTTCCATTACCGCACATGCACCTCGGTTTTCACCACTGACTTTGTGTGATGAGAAGAGAAAACAATTCGTGGGAACACCATTGACTAGCTAGCACGCAACACGGCGAAATGAGAAAGCACATGCGCGCGCGAGCGAGCGAGCTGAGCTGAGCATTCACTTTCATATCAGGTTCAGTGATTCACCATGCATGTTCCTATCGCGGAGCTTGCCTCTCTGCATGATTGCTGCTCGAGGCAAGCACGCGTTTAGCCTGTGCTGCTTTTGCAGATTCTGACATGATCCCCTTCGCTTATGATTGACAGACACTGCCCAACAGCGACATCCGCGCTTGTCCCAGTATTTTCTTTTCCTTGAATCCCAGCAATTAAACCGAGATTAATAGATTAGATTCACTGATAATCCTACTGCGACTGACCTTCCATCTCCAGGGATTGAAGCGCTGGGGGTCCTCGTACAGGGACGAGTCCAGATGCACCGCGGCTAACACCGGCAGGATCTTCCATCCGCTTGGAATGTCATAACCTTCAGTTCAGTTCAGTTCAGTTCAGTTCAGTTAGCTTCTGCTGTCAGATAGAGGAGAGGTCGATTCAGGGAAGAAGAGTGAAATCGAGCTACTCACCCTTGTAGTGCACGTCCTTGATGACCTTCCGGTGCAGGAACCTGACCACGTTTCCTAGCCGCAACGTCTCGTTTATGACCTGCAATAAGGACCCAAACAAAAGAAATATCAGTGCCAAGTACTGTATATTTCTTTTTTCATGTTTTGTTTCCTGAATGCAAGTTCTGTTTTGGGTCTGCTTTGAACGCAAGTACTACAATCTACAGTACTGCAGCGACTAAACTATCCTGCTGACTAAGACCCATAATTACATCACATACATGCATGCAACTTATTCTCGATCGGTAGGCGACAATTGTCGAGCAACTCATCTGAATTTCTAAGGCCTCAAATTACTCTGCTCCTTTATCTGATACCACCACACACATATACTGCAACTGACTGGAATGGTATTTCGGCATGTTCTGCTCTGCCGTCTGAACAGCAATGCAGAAGATTCAGATACCTTCTTGGGGGCAGGCCGTGCTACTGGAAGCCTACAACAACAGGTACTTGTCATGGCATTTGGATCGTTGCAAGACGATGGGCCTCACCCTGTAGAAACTTCCAAGGCGAAAGAACCTCAGCTGGCTAGCTTACAAGGCAGAACAGATCGACTCTATCGATCAATGCACACATGCGTGCGCCTTCTTAGCTCGATCGATCCAAACTGAAGAGAGGGAGCGTAAGTACTGTAGTACGTGGCCCGGCAATTATTTCGCAGAGCTTTCAGTCTCCATTCGTACATGACATTTCGGGAAGTTGCTATCTCTCTACGCAAGTGACCAAACAAAACAGCAAGAGCTACGCTAGCACAAAGCCTTTGCACCGATTTATATTAGTAGCGTTTAGGGAGGAGGGATCGGAAGGAACAAAGTAGGGGGGGCCTTACACATTGCGTGAAAACCATCTCTTTGTAGTCTTCCCAGCTCAATTTGCACTCCCCTCTTAGCCTTTGTCTCCTTGCAATCCCAAGATGCTCCTCCTGCATGTCACGCGTCAGTGTGAGTGTAACTAATCGATTCCCATGTCATTTCTGATGCCTTCGCTTTCTGCAATTGTTGCTCTACAGTTAAACGTAGCACTGAGCTAGTGACAGTAGATGTTAATTTCGAATCTGTAATTCTCTGTACCCTCAGTTCTTGGACAGCCTTGGGGCAGCCTTCAAGGAAGAAGATGGCGAGGGCGAGCGCCATGGACGACGTCTCGTGCCCGGCGAAGAGCAAGCTCAGCAAGAGGTCCAGGATTTGCTCTTTTGAAAGGTTAGATTGTTTCAGAGCCCATCCGAGAAGATCGTCTTGCTCTACGCTTGCATCCTCCTTGCTCAGCTTCTCAACCCGCTCTTCCATTTTCCTCTCTATTACTCCGAGAATGGCAGCACGCGACTGCAGGGGAACAGTAAAAATACACAGTAAACATCATGGAACTAATGTCGACATAGAACAGAAAAAAATAAGCTCACGGTGAAAAGTTCCTTCTTATCAGGAAAAGAAAAAAAATATGTGGGACACCTATCAAATTCAGATATGGTGTTGCCTAACCGCCTACTAGTCTAGGATTATGTCTCTTGTCATAGCTTTCTGTTTTGAAGAGAAAAAATGTCGTTTCCTTTCGATATAGAAAAGACACATATTGTGTCGACCTTCAAATGAGAGAGAGGTGTTCTTCAGCTGGGTAGCTACCCCTTTTCTTTTCCAAGTGCGCTGTATGTATAATTCATTCTTAAACATCCATGTTGGCAGTGTTTAGTTATAGGCCTGCAGGGTACTTGAAACTTAACACACGGATAACAACATTCTCGACAAAGTATAATTTCCGGGTCTACACTAATTAACTAAGAGTGCACACAACCATATTTACGGAGACTAGGATTAATTTGACCGTACTGGGTGAGATAATGCACTCAGAACTCCACAACTATACCAATGATGTTTCCTTGTATATTCCTCGGCACTGAACATAAGATAGATAATTAATCCAACTCATCTGGCATTTCATGAGACATGCAAATTAATGTGTTATAGTGTTAGCAGCTGTGATCAGTGATCACAGTTTATTTTTGTTAGCCAATTAGTGGAAGAATCTCCTATGGTGTATTGCCATTTGACTTGGATCACTGATGTGTGGGCCTGATAAGTGTGAGACCTAGCTACATGTTATTCACTTAAAGTTAAAGGATAGTACTGCAGAGATCTATTTCCCAATTAAGGAGAACGCTCAGTAGGAGTACTGCAGTGTCTCTTCAGCTAATAAAACTACAAGCACCCTTTCATTAACTAATTAAAACCAAACTGTGAAGGTTGCTGGCTAATCATCCGCTTAACGAAATTAATGTGGTTCGGGTGTGTGGCAAAGAGTTTGGTCAGCGGTTGAATCATGATAAATGATAGATTCCCCAGCATATAATCATGCCAAATTATGAAGGTTGGTCATTTACTTTCCAACAGATTAAAAATTCCACCTGCCAGGTTGCATGCTGTTGAGCACAGCACAGGGTGTGTGTATCGGAGAGAGATCGTGAAAGCTAGCAGCATGCATGCTGAGGCAATCAATAAAGATCATTTGAGTGTGACCTCACATGCAGTAAAAAGTAGGCAACATTTTATGCTCACATGAGTGATGATCAGTACGTCCCCAGGGAAAAAGAAAGAAAAGAATCTGCATGATCGATCAGTCCCCAGGATGCATACTCAGAAGAAGTACCAATGCATGGTTTTTTGAGTTAACTATATATAGGTTTTGGCTCATGTTTGGAAGATAATAAATATATTCATATGACCTCTGCTAGAATTTCACCTTAAGCAACTGCCTTTGAGAAAAAAAAAAAAACTGGACCTGGCCTAAAAGACATACTGCTAGCATGCATGCACGCACCTTTCAATCAACATTTTTTAGCTTTCTATATTGCCAAATAGCTATGGTCTATTGCTAGTATGCAGTTTCAATCCTATGTTGATTATCTCAAAGGCAAGATAATTTGTCCGAACAAATCGTACTAAAAGACCCGCTGTGCGAGCTGACCGATTGGACCTGATCTCGATATGGATCACTAATTCACTATGCTAGTATAGAACTAGCTGCAACAATTCCTGGACCATCCACAATTCTAAACACATACACCTTGTATATGCCCCTACATATATATAATAAGTGCACTGCCGTCATGTATATATATCTAATGATGGGCCATGCATATATATGATATATCATGCATGCGGACTAGCTACACACAAAACCACCAAACAAAAATTAAAGAAACTAAACCTGGCCCTCTCTAGCCAATTCCTTTCTCTAAACTCTTTTCCCCCCGTGTGCATACCAAACAAAACATTGACAGGGAAGTCATCGTCACTCCTACACAAATATATAGTATATATATTCACTTATCACTCACAAGTCGCAAATCATCTCTCTCTCCTCTCCAATATAAATATGATCCCCTTGCGTACATCTCGATCGTCGTAGTAACTTGTTTTCTCTTTAGATAATGAAAACAACAAAAATGGTTTACATCTCTAACCTCTGTCAACAGGGACCTGCACATGATCGTCGTTGCAAGTTGTTTGCTTTAGCTAAGCTGGGTATAGTAGTATATGCCTATATGCAGCTGCTTATAGTATGCATACGGAATAGGGGAAGAAAGGAACCTGGCCGGCCGGTCATAACTCATATGTAAAGTACTCTCTCCTCCTAAAAAAGGCAACATAGACAAAGATATGATGTAATCTAGGACAATGAATTTGGATATACTCCTGTATAGATTCGTTGTTCTAGGTTACATCATATTACTTGTCTAGGTCGTTTTTTTTTTGAAACGGAAGGAGTAAAACTCATGCGCGCACGACTTTGCGCGCGTACGGCCGGGGCGCAGGGTGTGTGTAGGCAGAGAGGGACATCGATCGATCGATCAATCCGCACGGGTGGGGTGGTAGCTAGCTACTTCCTCCGTTTCGAAATATTTGACACCGTTGACTTTTTAGCAAATGTTTGACCGTTCGTCTTATTTAAAAACTTTTGTGAGATATGTAAAATTATATGCCTACATAAAAATATATTTAACAATGAATCAAATGATAGGAAAATAATTAATAATTACTTAATTTTTTTAAATAAAACGAACGGTCAAATATGTGATAAAAAGTCAACGGCGTCAAACATTTCGAAACGGAGGGAGTAGCTAGTAGCTACGAGTACGTACCTTGAGAGCCTTCCAGTAGGGCGTCCCGGGCAGGTTGAGCGGCGCGGAGACCACGCCCTTCATGAAGGTGATGTACTCCCGCCGCAGCCGCTCCGTCTCTTCCTCCCCCGGGTCCATGCTCATTATGTTCTTCGCCATCAGGTTGAACGTGAACTGCACGCACGCACGCAAACGCGCGTTTCATTGATATTGATCGCTAGAGCGAGCTGATTGATATATGCATGCTCAACTTAATGGAGGACGATGTGTGTTGTACCTTCTTGGCTTGGTGCTGAGCGGAGAAGGTGGAGGAAGGGGGCCAGGCGCGGAGGACGAGGAGGGTGTGGCGCTCGACCTCGGGGAGGAGGACGGCGCGGAGGCGGACGGAGGAGAGGAAGTTGAGGGAGATGGCGCGCATCTCGCGGTGCGGGTCCCCGACGAGGACCAGCATGGACCACTTGCCCAGGATGCCGCCGATGCTGCGCGGGTAGCTGCACTCGAACAGCCTCCCCTCGTTCTGCAGGATGTACCGGTTGAGCCCCGCGTCCGCCGACACCACCGTCCGCTCCCCGAACAGGCTCGACCGGTATATCTTCCCGTACCTGCATGCACGCACGCACGCAACCGCACGCCACCCCCCAGCTCGCCGTCAGCCTATTATTACCGATCGATCGATATCCTAGCTACTAGCTAAGCTTGCTTCACGGCGAGGCGAGCAGTGCGCGTGCTTATATAGCTGTGTGCGTGTACCGAGTAATGAAACCACCGACCGTGCGATGTGCTGCTCCATGAAGCGGCCGACGGAGGTGGCGGGGTGGGCGCGGAGGTAGCCGAACGTCTCGCCGACGAGCGGCCACCCGGCGGCGCCGGGCGGCAGGTTCATCCGCTTCCTCTTCGCCGGCGTCGTCCCACCTCGCCACCAGTGCCCGCCGTGGCATTTGGCCACGGTGGTGGTGTAGAACGTGAGCAGGGCAAGGAGGATGAAGGGGAGAAAGAAGAGCAGCTCGCTGGTTATGGACGCCATCATGGCGGCCATCAGCCTGCAAGCAAGCTAGCTATACACCGATCGAGATGCCCGCCGACTGCCGGCCAGTTGCTCTCTCTTCTTCTACTACAAAATTTATTTATTTTTCCCTCTTGCTCGCCAAATTACAAGAGTATCCTCCACGCCTCTGAGTCTGCAAAAACCTTTCTGCTGGCTGCTTTGCGCAAAGAAGAGAATTTGGTAGCTAGGAGAGGAAGGTGTGCCCACTTCACCTCGCTCTCTGCTGTGGACATGGGGTACTCTTATATAAGTTTTTGAGGCGTGAGACAGGAAGAAGAAGGATGTGGTTGTTGCGAGGATTCTTTTGCTATAATTCAATTTTTGGTGTGGCGCAAGCATGCAGGGGAGGAGGAGTGGGGCTCCTGCTAGTAGTAATAGCTACTGGAGTAGTGGTATTTTTTTTCCCGCTCTACTTGCCATACAATGGAATACTATAATGCATATATTCATGCCAAGATATATAATACATACAACTATAGTACTAGAGATTAGTGAATAATTAACAAACTATTCTACCGTTCTGATCCTGACTAATGACAGGGTCTGCACAGGAGGCGCCTCTTGTTCAGTTAAAATTGGCAGGATGTGGATGTGAGAAGCTGGTTATGTTTTTATTTGTCACATGCATCTTTTTTTGAGATCAGGATAATATAAAAGGTAAACTTTCTTTCAAAAATTATATATATATATATATATATATAAGTTAGACTAGCAAAGTCTTTTATTACAGTTTAGTATAGAGATCACCTGGATATAGAAGAAATAAAGCAATGCTCCACTGGTTAAACAACTTGTAATCTGTCTCATAGGAATCAATGGGCAAGTTAGGTCTCCTGCGGATACTATAGTGCTAGGTTTTCATACTTGCACGCTTCTTAAAATTCCACCTTTGTATCAAATTTCAATTGGCGCTAATTTCATGGGCTGGTTAGCGGACATGCATGTTGCAAATTACTCCATACTGTTGTAGTGTGTTGTACATACTCTGCAGTCTGCACCCTTAAAAATAGAATATCTAGTAGTATAGTGTACTAATATAATGCAACAACAGGTCAGATGCTAATTGTGTTTTATTCTTATACAGTTGAGGATGTGAACATACATAATTAGTCAAGCCAAGACAGTACAAACCTATGTTGCATATAACATCTAATTAATGAAGACATAGCACTTCCCCTGCTGTGCAGACGGCTGCAAAATCGGAATCATCCAACAGATAATGACAGCTCTACTGGATCAGAGTCTAATTGATTGCTAGTTTGCCGCTACTCCGTGGCTCTGTGTGTATTGCTGGAAATCCAAAGATGGTTGCTGCGGCTACAGCAGCGCCGTCATGCCAGCTCTGCTCCATGTCCATCGCCTCTACGAGGCAGAGCTTGACCTTTGCTGCTGTTATATGACACCTGAAGATCCAAACTTACCCCTACAAGTATTTGATATTTAGAACAAGATTTAATCAAAAATTTCAACTTTGACCACCAGTAGTTTCTCAAATGCTAGATTTAAAAACATAAATGGAACACTGAAAATTACCATCATAATATTATAACTCATTAGCCGCCGTAGTATTTTTTTTCCTTCCTAGCTACTTTTTTGTTTTGCTTTTTCTTCCTTCCCCTAGCATAAACCGGTCTGGCTGATTATGTTGTGTATAAAAAAAATTTCGCTCTAATATATTGACGTGCAATTCTTTTGCGCGTTCGTGAAAAAGATTTTACAATCATTTTCAAATATAAAACTGATTGTCGAAGTTCAAATGTTTAATCAAACCTTGTCCTAAACATTAATTTTTTGCAAGACTTTTGGCTCTTGAATATAATGTGAATTGTTATATATGAAAGAGTCTACAAACAAATAACATAAAATGTAGTGATATAGACCACTTCACAAAGAAAATGTTCACTGCCTAACTTGAATTTAAAAACTACAAATTCAACTATGAGTAGTGCAGGTACTGTCCATTACATTTTTTTTCCCTTGATGCGTGGATCAAGTTCAATTAGGACTTGAAATTTTTGGGATGATGGATGTAAATTGTTCTAGTGTTTTCAATTACTAGTATGTTGGGAAGAACTATTCATTATGTGGTAGTATTTGAGAAGTGGGGGACATCCTTAATGATTAGAGGACTTTCTCTAAGATGACCAGCTTCTTAATTTACAAAAGAGTTGCACCTGAATTATGTATTTCTAAATAGAAGAAAAACACCACTAGTTAATGTATTGGTGAAACATGCATATTCATATCATGATGCTCTGTCAAGGTCTTGAACTTTTTATTAGTATACTGATTTATCATTTGAGTTGAAAGCTAGCCAGCATCGATCTGATTTGTTTTAGAAAACAGAGCATGAACAGTATTCTTAGTGCTTCCAGCTTGTTAACGGAATCTAATGGCTCTCATCAAAACTGATTGGTCCCGTTCATCCACGAACGGCATGAGATTCCGTAGCACTGACAATCAATTCTTGGTAGCCTGATCAATGGCACTGGCAGAGAGATGGCCCCTGCGCCATGAGGAAGCATGGAACAGAAATGATCAAAAGGAAGGGTCTGGATCCAGATTTCCAGATAGGCCAGCATCATTGTTAATTTGGTGCCATGGAAAGATGATTAGGGTGATGTTTACAGATAACTTTTTTATATGTATGCTGCATAATTCGTGGCTGTTGCTGCGGTCCCATGTAATTATGGTGTGATGCACCTTTAATTTATGGACAGAGGCCTGGAGGTTGCGAAATAGTATCTGTTGCACGCCCTGCCCCTCATTTAGTCGATGTTCACTCAATTGTTATGCGTATGGATCGTATGCGTCCTTGTGGTAGTACTCCTACCTCTTAAGAAAAAAAAATGTAATCATACGGCCATCTGTTGTCTATGCATAATTTAGCTGGGCAGTGATTACTAAATCGCTAAATAAAACGACAAAAAAAAATAGACGATGGCTCATAGATAAAATCCAAAGAGTAAATTGCATCCACGGTGCATCAACTTGACAGGTGGGTGTAATTTGGTGCAATAACATGAGAAATGAACATTCCAATGTAACAACTTGGTAAGTAGGTGTAATTTAATATAAAAAATTTATAAGTGATCGTATAAATGCAACAACTTACAAGTTAGGTATGATTTTGATATAACAAATTAAAAGGTTATGTGACAACTTAATTATTTGCAACATTATATATATATAAATTCATTTTTAAGAACTTATTTTGACAATATACTAGCGCGGATTTGTATAAGTATATTTATATTTTTATCCTAATAACTAATAGCTGAAAATCAATTAAACTGGATGTAGAAATTATTATATTTCGATTGATAATTGAGAAGGTGAAGAAAAAAAAATCTTAAAGGTAATTGGATGTAAATTGTACTACTATGTGCAGTATAATTCATAAATATTAAATTCAATATAAGGTAATATCCGTATGATTACTATGTAATGGCATGTTGACATCGTAAAAAAACTCACCTAAGATATACTTAGCCAAGTTAATACAACAAAATACTAAATTGTTAAGTTATTGTACTAGAACGCACCTGACGGAGCGTGGGGCTCCTCACCGGGAGACCGCGCAGGCCCCCCTTTGCCGGTTCGGCCGGGGACTCAGGGAGAGATTCTAAGCTCTCTGTATGTGGAAGGCTCGCGAGACAGGAAACACACAAGACACGGGCGATGTATACAGGTTCGGGCCGCTGAGAAGCGTAATACCCTACTCCTGTATTTTGGGAGATCTGTGTATGAAGGAGCTACAAAGTATCAGCCAGCCTCTCCCTTGTTCTGGGTTTCTAATCTGGAAAAGTCCAGTCCCCTCCCCCATCTCAGTGGGCAAGGTCCTCCTTTTATATCTTAAGGGGATACCACATGCACCATTTCTCTCTTTTTTGTGGGGACTTACCCCACCTTTTCATAAACAGACGGAGACTTGTATGGTTGCTGTCCGAATGACCTTCTGATGAGACGGGCCACAACTACCTCCACTTCCGCCGGAAGCAGGCGCGACGTGGAATCGTGGCTGTCTGCTGACGACATGACCGGTATCAGACCAGTCACGTCGGTCATTCTTGTCCACCACGTGTCAGCTTAGCAACCTACATGCTCACCCTTCTTCACACAACATCTTGCCTGTAATGGTTAGGATGAAGCCTGGCATATATCTGACCAGGACTAACGTGCCATCTCTGGGAGGTAACACGCTAGCTCCAGCTGGGGACGAGCGCCTAGAAGCCCTCGTCCTGACGGGATGGGGCGAGGCGTGCGTCAGATCGCCTGTTGCCACCTAACCCGCGATCTGACCGGTCTGTGACTGGTCACAGACCGGATAAACGAGTGCACTGCACTGCGTTACATACGGCGTGACACGCTCAGCCCAACCGCAATAAATGTGGTTAGGTGAGCCCCACTGTGCTCACCTAACCCATACACGCGGAGCAAAAACCCACGAGGGGTCGGGGCGCCTCGGCCCCCGGGGCCGAGGGGGGTGCGGCCCGACCCCCTCGGGGGGACTAAGAGGAGGGCGAACGCATCACCCTCGGGCCCGACGTCCCTCGGGGGTACCAGGCCACGTGTGCGATTGTGTCTGCCTCAAACCTCTAGTCATGATACTCCTGATCCCATGTCACCGACAGCACCCACTTGTCAAGTTGTTGTACTTGGACGTTCAATTCTCAAATTCTTATACTATATTGCACCCACATGTCAAGCTGTTGTACCGTGGGTGCAATTTACTCAAAATCCAAAAATACACTCCTCTTTTTCTTTCATCGCTAGCTAATAATATTAGTAGTATAATATTACAAGTAGTGAGGATAGAAGCATCTCTCTATGTATTAAGCCAGAAAAGAAATTTTAATTTCTAGTTTAAGATCAACCCCATACTCCAGCAAGCTTGGATTAGGGGTGACTTACTCCGCACCAATACGAGTGTACTTCACTAGGTCCACGTGTTGAAATGGGCCAAAATGGTTCGTTAAAAAAAATGGGGGCCAAAATGTCCGTCTAAAATATAAAGTTCTCCCAAACTATAAACCGTGGACTTAGACGGTTACCATTTTCTTAAAAAAAAGGGGGTAAAAATATACACATGTCTCAGCAGTATATCCTCATGTGTAGCCTCCACTAACTAGGACAATATGGAGCTGAAGAGTGCATCAGTTATTGATTATAGTTAAATTGTTTGTCAAACTCCGTAGCACATATCCATATTCCATTGAATAGATCTGATAAAATATTATGTTTTGTTGACTCTGTACTCACCCATCATAAGATGTCGTACAAAAGGCACGCTACATTCTACTTGACGGGACAACGCTAGTGCAGTTTATTTTTTATAACGTTGACAAAAATAAACGAAACAAAAAAATTGGTTGAGCTGAAGTTGATAAGACGTAGAGAAATAAACGGCACAACACAAAAAAGTCTGGTAACTTTTTGTCGGAGTGGAAAATATTATATAAAATATCTCATATAGATATATTTTCTAGACGAAAATACCACTGCCATGTCATATAAATAGATCACGAATAGAAATACTCCTAAACGGGGGATGACCAAGACTTCTTGGATTCGTATCCAACTTGCCTTCAGAGTTCTATATGGACAATGTTGATGGTATAAATATAGGTATCCTAAGAGGGGAGAAAGATACAATGCACTCTATCGCAAGCTAATAAAAGCCCATCGAGTCGACATCTATAGAAGTCAATAACACTTAGCTGCCGGCTTTATGCTGACAAAATTATAGGCTAGAGTAGGGTCACCAACCTATACTTTACACTCTTGTTATTGATAAATAGTGGAACACAAATCTCCCGCCAAATAGAATGTATAGTCATTATCTATCTCGGGAGGTCAGAATATGTATAAAAAATCACTATCTCTCTTATTCTCGTTCTATCTTTATGGCACCCTTACACTTATCTTACCCCATAACAATGATATACTAATGAAATTGTTCATCAGATTATTGTTATGAGGTAACAATGATATACTAACTTAAAACAATGATAAAAAAACAAGTTATCTAACAATGATATACTAATGAAATTGTTCATCAGATTATTACCACAAATTATCTAATTGATTATATGATAACTTGAATATTTTTTTTTAAAAAGAAAGTAACATATACTAACTTAAAACAAGTTGTCTAAGCAATGCAGTAGAAAAAAATATTTAAGAAAAAATATATTTTATTTTAAAGCGCAGAGAAGATAATCTGTTCTAATAATCGAGTAAATAATCTGAAAAGGGGTCTTAGGTTCCATTTGATTTATATTATTAAAAAGATTACTGGGGCAGAATATTGATTCGATTATAGAAATAAAATATTTTACGAAATAAACTTAATAAATATCTTAAGTTCTAAGCAATGAAGTAGATATTTTTTAGAAAATAACCCGTCTCAATAATACGATGATTAAGCTCAAAAGTGCCGGATGAGGAAATCCTGACACGTAGGCAACAAATGCTATTTTATTTTATTTTATTTTTCTAAACAAAGGTCAAAATGGCAACAACCTCAGCTTCTAGAAACCGCGGCGACGTACTCCCCCGAGTTACAACCCGTGTGCCCTGCGAAAACGATAACATATGATGGTCCGCGATGTCATTTCCTTTTTACAGTCAGCCGGGGAGCGAAAACGGAACACGTCCAGGAATTATCGCCACTGGCCGCGGCCGGGGCACCCACCGAAGATTAGCTTGACGCACTAGAAACAAACGATGCGAAAGCGGCCGGGCTTGATGTGGTGGTGGTG